AAGCTGAATACACCATGTTTGGATTTTAGGACAGCCTTCGATTTTAATTTTAAAAGGCCCCAAATTACATACTTCAGTTCAATATTATTAAAGAATTTTTTCAGAGATTTTAAGGACTTGAAATGGAGCGAGTGTGAAACAAGAAGCCAAACGTAATTAGTTATATAAAACTGCTGTGCACACGAGATTTTTAAGAGGCTTACAAAAATAGTTCTACATCAATCGATAGACTGATCTATATTAAAGGTTGAATTTAAGGGAAACTCTTTGCTAGTTTATTTTTCAAAATGACAAAAGCTGCCGTGTATTCTCCAGTGGTTGATGATTGAAGTTTACTAATGAATCAGTGTTCAGGGAAAGAGAGAGAACAAGGATTCTGAGTGGATCAGTTTGGGATCTTTCATACACTTCATTTCACACTTCATTTCAATTCATACATTTCATACTGAGCTAAGTTGCTCACCAGGAAGTTCACAGGGAGTTTTTCTTAGTGCCTGCCATTCACCCAGTGAGGACTCAAACCTCCGCTCATTAAATGTCAAATGACAAACGAGTGAGCGGGGGTCAAGGGTAGCAAGGTGACCATGATCTCATTGGAGCTAAACAGATCTGCAGGACTTTAGGGCACTGCTGATGAGACCAGCGAACCTGGCAGACCAGTCACTGGGAGCAGGGATCCTTCCTACTTGGTTCTTGTTAAATCCTACAAGCCAAATCTGTAATGGGTAGGGTGGGCCTGGGTGGTGGACAAGCAGCGGGAAGTTTGCCAGATTGTACTACTGTCAACGGCAAGTTTTAGTTGGTTAAAACTCCAGCGGTACCCCAGCATACACACCTGGGTCCCCAAGGTTTCACCAGCCTGTGCCCAACACTCTCTGGAGTTTAAAAAAAAGCAAGGCGTGTCCCTCTGGGGAAAGTGAGCATTCCATCCCAGACACAGGGAACTGGCCGTATGTAGGTGACATGCGTGGAACTGTCTGGTTTGAATACTCTTAAGGATGGTGATGGGCCTTAAGAGTGTCAGACATGTCAGATACAAATTTGTCCAAAAAAGCTGTATACAATTATAATCCTTGCATTTGATATAGCACCTTATCATGCTGTTGAGACATCTTAAAGGGCTTCACAGGATATACTGTAAAATGGATTGACTGTATTTTGTGGGTGAAACACAACAGCCGATTGCGCACAACAGTGTCCCACAAACAGCCATGGAGTGACTCACCAATTTTATTTTGGGAAATTGTTGGCCAGGACAGGTAATGTTTCACTAGAAGTACAGACTATTCTATGGTATGAAAAATGCTTCACAATTCAGTATTGATTTACTGCAGAAAGTTTACCATCACTATAATCGGTGCCAAAACCCAGATGAAATAAAAGGCTGCATTTTCCATAGTTTCCAATTAAATTCACAAAAATGCTCCTGGAACACTAAGTTGCTAGAAATAGTCTGCACTGAAGGAAAATCCTTCAGGCATTTAAAATCAATATCAGCGACTTCTTACAAAGAGGGATGAAACTAATCTTTCGATGGGGGCAAGAAGAGTTTCTTGTAAGCAGTACAGGTTGGCAGGACTGTGAGCGAGGCTTACCCATCACTGTGTGATACAGCATGCTGAGTGAGGAGACCTACCTCTGAAAGCATCTAGTCCTCTTCAGAACAGATGTCCGTCCTCCAGGGCCTTTAGTTGCTCCAATTTGTTTTAGTTTTGTTTATATTCTTACATAGAAATGTACAGGAGCAGAAGAAGACTACTGCTGCCCTCTGGCCACATTGTAAAACAATACTAACTCAGATTAATGCAATTGGATGCACACAAATAATGCCCACAAAAAACAGTCAATCCACATTACAATATCTTCTGTGAAGCGCTTTGAGATGTCTCAATGACAGAAGACGCTATATCAAATGCAAGATTTATTATTAATTTATAAATAATCCAACACTACTTAATCTCTCAAACAGCTCAATAATAATAATCCTTGCATTTGATATAGCACTTTTCACGTTTTCTAGAAGTCTCAAAGTGCTTCACAGAAAATACTGTAAAGTGAATTGACTGTATATTTGTGAAAGGCGCCATACAAATGTAATCTTGTTGTTGTATATTTATGGGTGTAACGTGGCAGCCAATTGCGTACAGCAGTGTCCCAGAAACAGTCCTGGATTGAGTGACCATTAAATTATTGTTTTTTTTCTTGAGGGATTATTATCAGGCGTGTGGAGTAAGGAAATTGCTCCAAGGTTTTGCCCTGCCGGGAATCAAACCCAGGTCTCTCGCTTGCAAGGCAAGTGCTCTAACCACTGAGCTACAGGACTCTTTAATACCCCAAAAATGTCAACCTCCAGGTAGTTAACATTCTGTTAAATCTGAACTGTCCATGCATGTGTGAGAAGAAGACCATGACCCCTTTGTCAAAGAGAATTTCACCTTATTTTTGTATTTTGACTTCCTTTCACTACCAGCAGATGGCAACCTACTTATACTGGAGATAGGAAAATAGAGCACACCAGTGACATAATGCCTGTTTGACATAGTAACAACAAAATTACATTTATATAGCGTCTTTCATGTCGGAAGGATGTTCCAAGGATAAAATAAAAGTATCATCTCAAAATAAAATGCATCACATCAACAAAAAGCACTTCACAGGTTTTCCTGTAAAGTGCTGTGACTGTACTTTATATGTAAACGTACCATTCAGTTTGCACACAGCAATGTCCCAAGTTAGCCATGGAGTGAGTAACCATTTAATCTGGGCAACTGTTGGCCAGGATAAACTCTTCTATTTCGGAGTAGCGATCTTCAACGTCCACTTGAACAGGCAGTGAGGACCTTGGTTTAACAGCTCAATCGAAGGATGTCAGCTCCAACAATGTAGCACAGCCCCCAACCAGTCTAGATTGACCTTAAAGTCCAATAAAACATAATGCCATTCAAAAGGTAACAGTGCCATGCAAAAGCAGACACATCCCCCCCCACCTGAGTACAAGAGGCACAAGCAAGAACCTGACCTCTGCCTCTTGCTCAAGACTAGTCCCGATAGATTTAAGGCTCCTCTTCAATAACCATCCCTACTGGAAGTTGGAGACGGTCTTGTTCGTCTCCCAGAACGAAAAACACCTTGTCGCAACATATCCAATAATCTCACTCAGGGGCAAGGTGGGGCGGCAGACAACATTGGAAAGCTCACCACATTGGAAAAGGAGAGGATGCTCTTCAGACACGATTGAATTATTGGAATAGAGCACCCCTCATATTCTTCGGTGCTTACAATTAGTGCAACAAGCAGAAAAAGTCTATCCAATCCCCAGTAATAAGTAATCCTTGCATTTGGTGTAGAGCCTTATTACATCGGATGTCTCAAAAAGCGATTCACAGGATAATATAAGTTATGTGACTATTTTATGGGCAACTTAATTCCTCACTTGGATTACGGCAAATGCGTTAAGGTTGTGAATACCTACCGTGAACAGCACAGTTCAAGTCTAAATGCTGGGATTCTCTGCTGGCCACAGCTATCCAGTTGGAACTGCAATAGGATCAACCCATTATCATAATCATCCTCTGTTTACATTATCCTTAAATCAAGAGCAAGCAAGTTATCTACTTCTCTTCAGGAAGCCTCAATCCCAACATACTCCCTCCGGAAGTTCCAGTATTTATTTCCTATAATCAACAACAACCTGGATTTATATAGCGCCCTCCAAGCCGGACGGATAATCAGTCAAGATGCTCCTTCCTGTAGCATGTGGATTGAAAACTGGTTTAGCAAATAGGAAGCAGGTGGTGATTAGTGAATAAATGAAAAAAAAGTTGTGCTTTTTTTGGGTGGGAGGGGAGGAAAGAGAATAGAAAGGACAGGGGGTTCCACAGGGATTGATGTATTTCAGAATGCTACTTATGGTCAACAAATTTGCTGGTGTCAATTTTTTTTGCACAGGTAAAATAATTGGAAAAATTGTATAAGACCACTGAGCAGACCGATTTTCAGATAAACATACTGAAACCAGAAACCGTAAACCTGTATAAAATGAAAGGATGTCCATTTGCATAAGTTCCTACCACTCGACTTGATAAAGATTCCAATTGCCATCATTCAGATACAGATTTTGCAAAATAATTATCCTTACATTTGGTGCATTTCATCTCAGCAGGATGTCCTATAGCACTTCACAGGAATATACTGTAGTGCAGTGATTTGTGTGTGAATGCGGAAGCTAATGTGTGGCATTTGGATAGAACTGGCACTTTGCACACTTGACACCCAATGCAATACTCAGCAAACCACCCGAGGTACTGTCTGCCTGCACTGACGGAGATTAAAGGTACTATTTTGGTGAAGAGAATTCCCCCAGTGTCCTGGCCAATATAAAAAAAGATTAGTTGGTCATTCATTTAATTGTTGTTTGTGGAAAGTAGCAGGGTCAGATTAACTACTATGTATTCCTACACAATAAGCCACATAATTTCTAATGAAGCCCTTTGATGTGATGAAATGAATTATTAAATAATTAAGATAATTCTATTAGAATTCTTTGAGACAGTTCCCATATCTGAGCATCTCCAAAGCAATTGCTGTCAAGTGTAAGGACGATTTGCAGATAAATGAAGCAGCCAATTTGCACGCAGCAAGATCCCACAAACAGCCATGAAGTGAATGACTAAACTGGAATATTGTTGGTCAAAATACAGAGGTAAATTGCTCTTGTTTCAAATAATAAAAATAATCCTTGCATTTGATACAGCACGTCAGGATGACAACCCAGAGCACTTCACAGGATTTACCGTAAAATATTGGAAATCCCAGAGAGAGACTGTTGGAATGGAATGCGCACTCTCTCCCTGATGGGACGCATCCTGCTTACCTAATTCCGGAAAGTATTAGGCGCAGGTTGGCAAGAGCCAAGGGTTAGGGACCCGGGTTAGAATAATACACACAACACACATTCCAGATGTTGCACTATCGAACAAAGTGACCATCTTACAAATAAAGGATGTAGTTATTTTTTTATTTTTCCCTTTTTTTATACATAGAGGATTTATTTACAGTCTAAGTTTTGTTTTAAAACGGCATTTTCTTAAATGTAAATAATTCTAATTCTAATCAGAAAGAAAACAGTAAAAAGATCAAAGCAGCATCAATCCGAACGATTCACCCATTTGTACTAAACCATCTCAAACTAGTCGTTTGGGCACGTAAGCCAATGAATGCTCAAATGCATCGTTCAAGCCCACTGTTTACACAAAAGGTGGGAGGTAGCAAGAGCTAGATATCTGCCACTAACATGTAGTTTAGAGGGTTAGTGTGCAAACCTGAAAAAAAACACGTATAGAAACCATTTGACATATTGGTGTCTACATTAACATTTCATTTATGGCCACACTACAGTTAAAACGCTGGGCAAGGGTGATAGTGTAACCGAATGAAACTTCAGTCCATTAACTTTAGAAACAAGCATCCCTTTATTCAGTGTCACCTTTACAAAATTCAACCGATTTATTAAGCTAGCGACAAAACAGAGTGTTTGAAGCTGAAAGTCAGAGGCAGCTAGCCCTGAAAGTTTTCACTTTGAAATCAAGAAATTAAATGAGCTGTAAGAACAAGTCTCTTCATCACCTGGTTTCCCCCTCCTCCCCATGTTACGTTATCTGCTGGTAGTCAACATTGGTGTTTAGCAAATGTTTAAATTTAACCTAAGTGCTTCAGGAATGTACAGATTTGATATCATGTTTTACAAAACTAAAAACTCTCCAGCTGCCCTACAGTATTTTTGAATTCAGTAGTTTAATCCAAGATTTGTGTGTTTTTTAAAAAAAGTAAAGCTCTATTCAGTGTTTGACAATTAGGAAGGGTGAAAAACATAAATAAGGCTTTAATTTGGCAAATCACGGTGCAAATCATAGCGCCATCTCAAACAGAAGTCCCTCCTTTCAGCACTCTAGTCGCCTAGAAAGGAAAAAAGAAGTTACATTAGACGTTACTTGCTTTGTACTATAAGCTACAACACAAAAGATTCACAAACATGGCTTTACAATGAACAGGCAAAACATTCTGCAATACATTTTGAATCCTGTGGAACTGCTTAGAAAACAGCATTTCCAAAACATTCCTCCTAATTTATTTTCCATTAAAGTGAAAAGCCAAAGAGACAGAGCATTCCATTCTCTTGGATTCAAACTGATAATTTCTGGAAGGAATAAAGTTTGTTACTCCATCAAATTCTCACTTCCTGACTTGATATTTGAGGGGCAAAGAGTTGTTACAGTCTGTAATGCACTGCCTCAAAGGGTGTTTGAAGCAGATTCGATAGTAGCTTTCAAAAGGGAACTGGATAGGTACTTAGAGAGAAATTGCAGGATGATGGGTTAAGAGCGAGGGAGTGGGACTAGTTGGCAGCTCTTTCAAAGAGCCAGCACAGACATGATGGGCCAAATGGCCTCCTTCTGTGCTATAAGATTCTATGATTAATACCCAGGTTTAGTTTTCTGTCCCCCAATCTACCAGCAGAAAAACACTCAAAAAATATGAGTATTTAATGTGCCTTGTGAAGTGGGATGCCTGTTCTCCACTGGATGTCATGTGGAAAGCAAACAGTGCCAAATATCTACCTTTTCTTCAAGTTGTACGATTACATTTTGAGAGCTCTCCCTCCCTTTTGAAAGCTGTTGAAGGAGAGTTTGTAGTAACTGCTGTAGGTGAATTACATCCTGATTAAGGTTCAAAGTTATCTTCTCCTTTGTTTCTAGCTGCTCCTGAAAGAAATAAAGATTCACATTGGTGAGATTACTCAGTTATAGGTCACAGGAACATCATTCCTTCGAGCCCAGCAATATCCTCAGCACCTTGGGTAATGCAATTTGGTAGTGGGACAACCTAAATAAGGCTACCTCCAAAATCGCTTGATGGTACACACTACATAATTGCTTGCAGCAGCAAAGGATGCACAATTAAATTGGCTACATCTAGACATTACTGAAATAACAACAACAACAACAAGATTTCATTTATAGAGGGCCTTTCACGTCGGGAGGGTCAGGTTGGGTCAGTTGGGTCAGGATCCGAGCGGGGGGAAATGGTCAGGGTGAGGGGAGGGAGGGAGCGAGAAGGGGGTAGAGAGTCGAGAGGGGAGCTGAAGGCTTCAGTGTAATTTTCTGTGATTTACTGACCAGTACAAGTGTAATCTAGCCGCATTAAACACCTGTTCTGTTCTTGGGTATACCAAATTTAAGATTGCCAGTACATTACGTACAAGACCAGATTGAAGAGTATGAATGTATGCAAATATGCTTTGAGATGCTGCAACAAGTTTAAATAAAAAGGAATAAATATGGCTGACAGCTGGAGGCACATAGCTGTACTATTTAAAAAGCGATCAATGGAATGACTTCTCCGAAGAAAATCGGGTAACAATCAGTCTGGAAACATCAGACACGAGCAAAAACAAAACCAAGAGATATGCAGGAAAAAGTTTGCTAAGAATTACTGACCTCATTTAACTCTGATAATATTGACTTAAAGGGTTAATTGCATCAATAGCTTTTCTATCATTGATTTGCACTTTACCCCATAATTTCATGCATTTAGACACATACTGACCTTTACGTCTGAAATTTCACTATTTTCTACGACACTGCCATCTTCTATCGATTTTGCTATTTCTGCTTGAATAGTGTTCAAGGACTCTTGAGCCTGTAAAACACATGTTTTAAATCTGTGCCACGTAAAACATTTCTAAACAGAAGCTGAAGACAATGTAAAGACACCGAGCAGAAGATGGAAGAGATTTAGCTAAACTGTGTGAGGTGTTGTCGGGTGCTATAATCTATAAAGACTAAATAAATCTGCGAGACACAATACTTTTGTATTTGTACTCATTATGCCAGAGTTTCACGAATTGTGGGATATTTTTATTCGAATACCTCAGAATCGAAATGACTGGATTCAGAAAGTCAAGAGGAATTTATAGGAACAGAAAGATTAGCCCATCTGGTTAGCCACAAGTTAATTTTTTTAAAAAAAATTGGGGGGGCAGGGGTGGAAATAATAGAAAACATTGAACACTGTGGCTACTTTCAAATCATTGCCAAACAAAATATTGTATCTAAAGTGAAGCCAAACTGAGCAACCTGCTCTGTTGCTTTGCATTTCAAAGCATTTCCTGTAGCAAACATGTCACTAAGTATGGTTCTGCTGACAGACAACAACAGCTTAAAACATAGAAAGACATCCAAGTGCTTTACAGTGATGGGGACAGACATCGAGCAGGGTGGGGAGAAAGGTGTCAAAAGGCATAGTTAAAGAGGTATACTTTAAGGCAGATAAAGGGGATGAAACCAAGAGATTAAGGGGATGGAGTTCCAGAGGTTTGCGTAATAAAAATAATCCTTGCATTTAATATAGCGCCATATCACATCGTTGAACATGTCTATAAAGATAGTCATGTCTTTATGTAATGCTGCTATTTTGTTCCAACACCTGAGTCAAAATATGCAGGAGTTTGATGCACCATCCATTTCATTATTTTTCTTGAAATACAAAATTTCAGTACTAATATTCACTTCAAAAATAAATTTAAATATCAAAGTGAATTAAAAGCAAAAGATTAAAGTTTTAGGACACTAAGGATGCAGAGACATCCATACATGAACAAGTATTAAAAAGCAACAATTACGCCAGTTGAACAAAAATGCTTACAGCGGTCTAAGTTAAGAGTTGATACATTCTACACCATACACAAGATAGCAAGTGCCGAATTTTACCTGCTGTAAATTCGAAACCACCTTCTGTGTCTCAAGCTGCTCAGTTTTTAGTTTTGTTAATGTTTCACTTAACTGAGTTTTAAGCTGGAAAGTGAAAACAAACGTGTGTGAAATAATGTCTTATTCCAGATTTTATTTTGTGTGAAAGATTTGTTAAAGCTGGTTGGTGAAGGCAGTTGTAGAGTCGTAAAAAGCTGACAATGGCAACAGAAGGTAAATCACAACAGTCAAGGGATTAATAATAATCCTTGCATTTGGCATATAGCACCTTTCACATTGGGAGGACATCGTAAAGTGGTTGACAGGATTTTACTATATTCGTGGGAGAATGCGTAATGCGTCCAATTATGCACAGCAATGTTCCACAAGCAAACATAAAATGAATGATCAATTTTATTTGGAGAATTGTTGGCCAGGACACCAGGAGAAACTCCCTTCCCTTTCAAATCGTGCCATGGGATCTTTAACGTCCACCTGAATAGGCAGATGTGACCTGGGTTTATTAACATCTCATCTGAAGGACAGCACCCCGCCCTCTGACAGTTCAACACCCCACCCCCAAATACTGTCTTGGAGTGTGCTTAAAACTACTAGTTTCAAGTCTGATGTGGGGCTTGAATCCACAACCTTCCAACTCAGAGGCAAGAATGCCAACAACTGAGTTAGACACAGGATAGGGAGAATTTCTCATCATCATTACCTCTAATCAAAAAAGTCTAATAAGGATCTGTGGCTTGTTCTGCAATAAGTGATTGTGCAATTCATACTAGGCTAAACGTACAGTGATCAGTTTGAACACATTGCACAAAAAAAAGAAAGTCAGGGTTATCAACGTCATCAACGGTAGTGCAATAGAAGCTCTGGGGACAACATGTGGTGGTGATTATGAAATTCCATGAATTTCTCTTTCATTCCCCATAGCCTCACATTGGTAATTTTACTCTAGATATCCATCAATTTGAACCTCATTTGCATTCATCTTATTCCTGCAAACCTTGTAGAGGGAATAAACTCCTTGGGTTAATGCTGTCAAAGCGGCATACAAGAGATAAATACTAAGTTTGTGCTAGTGAAAGCATTAAACTGCATTGGTCATTAGGTTCTGTTACAAGCCAAAGATTAGTAAGGGAGATTCCATGCACTTTCCCAATGTTATGGGTAGCCACTCCTACTTGTGCTTGATTTTCCAAGAAATTGCTTCTTAAATTTTATGGCAATAACTGCAAGCGAGTTTCTTACCAAATTTAGTTCTTCGTTCTGCTTTATTGCTTCAGCACATGAATCATCAAGTTTTTTCTGCAATTCAGTCAGCAGAACTTTCAGCTGAAATGAAGTTTAAAACCGAGTTTAAACTGTTAACGGGATGGATTACAGAAATATTTAAATTCTGCTGACAAATTGCTTGTAATGTTTGAGACGTTTGATTGTTCAGCAGGCTTCCCTTTTGTAAAAGGAACCTTTTGAAAGACGAGTTTCCACTTAATTAATAAAACCATCACCTATTTGATTCAAAGTTTCCACAAGCCTAAAGAAATAGATTAAATCAAAAAGGTTGTGAAAATATTGAGGACCAAGATATTCATCTATTAACTTACTTCTCGGACCTCCGTTACATAAGTGGCTCTTTCCGATTCCACCTTTTCCAGCTCAGAAGTAAGATAATCTCGGCGTTTTATAAGCTGTAAAAAAAAGTTCAACATGAACGGCTCGATAATTCAAACTCTTGTTTATGAGGTTTCTCCATTTATCACATAGCCAGCTATGGAGACTTGCAGGTTATTCTTGCAACAGTTAAATTTATCTGCACCTGGGTTTTGCATTACAAGTGGGACTCTTGTAACCAGAGCCCCTTTTATTTATTTGTACAAACACTTATTAAAGTTATACAGAAATACACTTTCAGATCAGGAGTTATACTGGTTATACAATGCAAGTTACAAGGTACTTACAGATGAGTATAATGAAAGTTGTTGTGACACATTTGGCTGGTGTCATTGATTGGCAGGGGTTGGGTGGACTTAGGAGCACTGGTTTGCCATGCCACTTAGTCCTGTGTGCATCAGCAGTTAGTGGGATCACTTTGTGAGTTGCAGTGTCTCAGTCTCTGATGACTGGTTGGGGAGGGGGGGTACGACAATGGACCGCATGACATGGGACCACCTCGGGTTTCCCATTCTTAATTTTTTAATACTTTTGTCTTAACAGTAGTGCTGGTAACGTTGAGGGTAGGACGGCCGTTAAGAGCTAAAGCAACACAGGTGAGGATCCAGAATGACAGTCCTCTATGCTAGGTGTGGTCAGCTGCAGTCATTGAAGACATTTTACTGGAACTGTCAAAGGGACAGTGCTCATTGCTTAATATCCAAGCGAAAGTACATTGGAGTAATGAAACACTTGATTCAATCTCTCTCTCTTGGCATTCTTGTTTATTTTAAACTAAATCTAAATTGTAAGTGGAAGATTAAACAAACACAGGGGTATGGCTTTGAATTCCGTGAATATAGTGACTGATAAATACCTCAAAATGTAATCTTTTTGCTGGGAGGTTACAAACAAATTCTCAAATTCTCAAGCAGCACTGAAAGGGGTTGGGTGCAAAATATTTCTTTGGCAGCTGCACCTAAACAACCAGTTATAAACTGTGAAAATCACTTTAGGGAACCTGTCTAGATCGAGGCAGGAAGCTGTCCCTTAATAGTGGAATAACTAGACTGCTGCCAAAAATCATCCCTAAGCTTGTTATGATTATTGTAACCATGCACTCAAACAGGCCATATAAACAGCATGAGCAAAAATACTTTCCTGATTTGTAGGGCACTATTCAATAAGGCAGCACTCAACTTCTTTCACAGCATCAACAAGGGGCAACAGAAGTGGACAAAATAGTCATGCATACAATTCTCTTGAGGAAATTGAGTATCTGATCAAAGAACAATTTAGTCATTCCACACGAGATTATAATCTGCAATCAACATTTTTCTCACTCGGTCGAAACTGCCCTTAAATTGTATACACTGTCATAAATTCAATCTCATAGACCTAAAGTGTAAAGTTGGTGGGGAAAGGTACCATTAAATTCAAACCATTGCTTTAACAGTAGTTAGGTGATAGAAGTTTGGATTTAAAGTGGACATAATATAACTGAAAGAAATACATACTCAGCACATTGACCAACAATAAGTAAGTCACCATTATCTGTAACTCAGCAACTCCAGGGAAATCCCCACCTCATGTTACTACTTAGTATTCAAATAGTCAGGTGCAAAGTGCAGCATTAAGTCTTCAGGTCTCAAACATTTAACCTACGTTTTCTGCTTCTCGGCCTTCCCGCTTCACCTTCTGCAATTCATCCTCCAAAGAAGTTATTCTCAACTTCATCTAGAATAACAAGGCAAGAGTTTAAAAACCACAGTAAATGGAAACATGTAAAGACCGTGATTTTATAATGTTCCACATTTTATATCTTGTGTCTTATACAGGGAAGAAATAAATTCCTTTCAATTTTTTGAGGCTGTCTGATCTGTGAAAGGGACAGAGATCCTTAAGATTTCTAGCTTTTGTGGCTCCTTTTATCCAATGCCATGTTAAGGTCAACACGTGAAGACAGACTAATGCACTGTGATTGATTAAGGGTGTAATCAAGAACAATAAGGCCAATATTTCTATATACTTTTGCTACAATATAAAATTTCCAGAGTTTCTCTCAGCACGCTTGACCAGGTTGAAGGACGGAGGTACCGTGCTTCAGGTAAACAGAGGTCCCATGGCACTTCCTGAAAAGTGAAGGGAGTTTCTCATTTGTACTGCCAAATATCCCAGATTTTTTCAAAATGATCATTCACTTCATAGCATGTTTGTGGGATGCTGCTGTGAACAAACTGGCTGCCACATTTGCCTACAAAAATACAGTCACTACGCTTCACAGTAAATCCTGTGAATAAGGTGATAAGGTGCTACATCAAATGCATGGATACTATTATTAAATTCTAGGATTGAATCATAGCACTGCCCAAGCTGGTTAATTTCCAGAATTAGGTAGACAGGATATATCCCTCTAGAGAGTGTGGGCATTCCATTCCAACAATCTATCTCTTTAATTTCCATGTGTAATAATAATAATAATAATCCTTGCATTTGATATAGCGCTTTTCACGTCGGGAGGACGTCCCAAAGCGCTTCACAGAACACACTGTAAAGTGAATTGACTGTATATTTGTGGGCGAACGCGGCAGCCAATTGCGCACAGCAATGTCCCACAAACAGTCGTAGATTGAAAATGACCAATTTAAGTGGGATGCATTGGAATTCTCAGTTGGGTTTGGATACTGTTAAACATGGTGATGAGTTCCCGCATGTGTCAGATAACCAGCTGACCAAAAAAAGTTACCTGCAACAACTCTCTCTGGGAATCATCCAGTTTTATCTTCCATTTACCCTCCTCCTCTTCCACACTGTCTTGCAGCCTCTGCAAGATTCCCTCCTGTGGGTAAAATAAATTTGTATGTGAAAATAGCAATGATGGAAGACGAACTTATGCTGTAATTGTGCATCGGTGCAAAACTCACCGTTTCTGCAAGTACCATCTTGTATTTCTCACATTCCAACTGCAACATCTCCTCATTCTCCTTCAGCTTGTGCTCTGTAACCTACATTTGAATAAAAAACGCACAAGATGAGATCACAGTTGAAGAAGCTCCTTTGACCCACTTGCTCTCATCTTTCCAGATCACAAATCAACATTCAGGATTTTCTTTGATGGCCGCCCAAAGCATTTAAGACAACATTCATTTCCATTTCAAAATGCTTCAATTACACTCTTATTATGTGTATTTGGAGAAATTCAATTGCTAACATTAATATTTACTCCATGACCCAAATATTCAACCATCTGAGTCATGCTCAGATTTCTCAGCAGAAATAGACCCAGAGCAGACATGACCAAATTGCTTACTTATTTAATTTTTTGTTGATTTTTGAAAGTGCAATGAAATATTAAAAAAATTCAGGTAGTGTTGCAAGTTAGATGCAGAATGAAGTTCCCCTCAACTCTATCCAAACATACCTCACTCAGCCAAGCCCTCAGAGGACGCAGGACACCCACATGTACATTTTTGTCTCCAATTTTTCACAGCAGTCACCCAAACGGCCTTACAAACTAGCACGGTTGTTTAGCACTACAGGCCTGAGATCACTGGTAAAAATGCACAAATCACTGGCTCCAAACATACAGGGAGATTTCCCTCCACAATGTCAGTGCAGGGGCAGTCTGGACAGCGCATTTGCTCACGTTAACTTACGGATTTCCTGATAGCCTGGTCAGAAACAGCATTTAATAAACTATCCACTTAGGACAAAAGCAGTGCAAACATTTGTTAGTTATATTGACTTGAATGTTCAGTTTTTCTTTAACCACAATTTCAAATAATGTATAATCTGGTACTTAATTGCACTCTCATCACTACATGCTGCCAGCAACGTGCTTTCCAATAGGATTCCCATTTTACTCAATGCTATGTTTATCTTATTCTTGTAAATGGATTAGATGTGATATGGCACGTAGAGCAATGAAAACATTCAGTGTAATTAATCTAAGGTGGAAAGTAATCTCTTGCATTGGATATTCTTGTCCAGTGTACACCATAACAACTCTGAATATGCAAACCATTTTTCCTTCTTTGTGCTTCTCAGATAAAGCCTTATGTGCCTGACGTTCGAATGCCTCCATCCAATCAGAATAATCCTGTGGTAAAGTCAGAAGACACTGAATTAAACCATTTTTCTGCTTTTCTGCTTAACCAGTTATTTTAATCACACTAGGTTTCATACATCAATACAAGACTAACACAAGTGGTTGATATCAAAGTGTTAGCGAGCAGTTTTGAGCAGCTACTCTCAAACACTAACCTTAAAATGCAAACCAAACAAATGAGGGTGCTTATAAAATGCTAAGATTGCAGAATATTTGGCAGACTTAAGAAAATGTAATAAGCACACACAGGATTTACAGACACCCTTAATTTAAGATTTAAAAATACAGGCTCCAAAGCAAACAAAAGACCTCAGGCGGAGTCAAAATAAGTGATCTAAGTTACATTCTTTGTTCCATTCTAACCCACTGTGGTAAAAAAAACTCCACGATTTTCACATTTGATACAACGTAAACACTTTATTAACAAAAAATTACCAAGTTGGACGACACAGACACCCTTGGAAACAGCTTTCGCAGCATTTCTTTTGTCTCTGACCGGAGGGCGGCAACTTGCTGACTGCTCTCCTGTTCCAAGAAAAACACACATCTGGATGTTAGAATGTGCATCCTTAAAAGCACATACTCCTAAAGTGGCTGGCTAGCAAGCAAGCAGTGGCGCAAGCACACTGGTGTACCAACATGCCATGCCACAAGCAACAGGGAAGTTGGATTTGAGCTTTTGAGATTTCTTGAATCTGGGAATCTGGGAAATATTGAGCAGAAAAATTACTCCCCCCCCCCCCCCCCATGGAGATACGGGGAGGAGGAACAAGACCAACTCGCTATTCACCCCCTTTTGTACAGCTTCTAGTAGTAGCTGGTTAAAGAGCTACATTGGCAGAGGCCTGAAGGCAGGTTGGCTGACTGTTCGTGGGGTACAGAGAATGGCATGGGAGAAGACAGGGAGAATCAAATAGTGAAGGGGGGGTTGGGAAGAAGAGAAGAGAAAGGAACAAAAACTGGCAAGCAAAACAGCATCAGAGAATCAATCATCTGTTAAGTTTAAAACAAGACACACAAAAAACATGCACAACACGAGAAATTAAAACACCACAAGCAAAAGTGCAGAAAGATTAGATGTAAAAAAAAGTCTAAATTTTAAATGTTTTCAATTTTCAGATTGCAGCAGAAGTTATCTACTGTACAAAATTTTCCACGTGTATTACAACCTTGGCTGTCTTGTTCACTTTATCCTGCAACAGTTTTTCAGTTGATGTCAATGCTTCCATTGCTTTCCAGTTTTTCTCCCGAAGTTCCTAATTATTTTTAGAAACAACCATTTCAGTTCACCAGAGATATTTTGTAAGGAGTTTACAATTTTTTTTTTGAGGCGTTAAATGTATTCTGGGAATTAAGAATGGTGATTTCAATGACTAAAAAAAAATCTTCATTCCAATTGTTTGAGAGGACAAAGCTGGGAAATAATTTTACATCTTCTGTTGAAGAAAGGATATACATAGTAAGAAAAAAAATTGGGAAACACTATAGACTTGCATGGTTCCACTGGTGCCAAATCCAAGGCAATAGTCTGTAGCACAGATCAAGACATAAGTGGAGTGAGGACAGTACATAAGACAAGAGAAAAGCACCAAAACAAAGATCACAAATGCAGAAGACCTTCCCAGGAACCCATTATTTGGGAGTCAGCCAAAGTGCATTGCAACAAAGATTGCAGGAGTTCCCATTCTGTATTCGAAGATGGTAATATTCTGGCTCAATAAACACTTCAGTGTTTTCTAAGCAGTTTAAAGCTCCTCCCAACCACACACACAGACCCGAATACACTCAGAGCAACGTTTACAGCACTGTGAATATGACTATAATCTCTGCAGCTCAGTATATTAAGTTCCTGAAGGGCCCAATCTTCAAGGAGTTAAGATAGAACAGATTGGCCAATGAAAGTACACATTGTGCAGATTCCTTGCAACAGAACAAAATGACCCATCACTAATATTCTGGCTCAATAAACACTTCAGTGATATTTTCTGGCCCTATTGGTACAGAGGAATTATCTTTAAATCGGATTGTGTGTTTACAGCAACTCATGTACCAATAAGAAAACTTTCAGAAATCTTTCTGCATGAACCTGTTGTTCACCTGTTGTAAATCCTTTGTAGAGAACTAAGCCAGAAAGGTGGAAAGTTCTTAAGCAAATTTCGTATTCGTACACAATTCCACAAAAATGAGCAAACCAGTTTTGGAAAATACAACTGCATTTCTCTTCTCTCTAAGAATCGGCTATTCATTGGGCCCAAGAACAGTAAGTGCCCTGTCCCAAGTGTGCAACTTCAAATATTGACTTTAAAATTCATATTTAAATGTTTGTGACTTCCTCTTCACCTTGTCCTCCGCCCTCTCCCACATGTAGCATCACCCTCGCCTCACCCTCACTGGATCACCCACATATACACTGGATCACCTTGCCTTCCTCACGCAATGCATTATACCCAATTCATTCTCAGTTGTCCAATGGCAACTCAGTCCAGAAATATTTGGTACACCAATCTCAATCCTGCTTTAACCATTTTTTCTTCTTTGAATTGGGTCAATCAATCCCCCCACCCAATACAATGATAAGTTCTGACACCTGTAGGAATAAATCACTGTAATTTCCCCCCTTCAATTGTTCTGTACTATATACATATATATATATTACACACATATACACACACAAAAATTCAATACTTAAGCAGCATCTGGTGTAACAAGAGGTCACTTTGAAGATAAAGCCTCAATGATTACACATGACATGGCTGTCCACAAAGCCATGTACTTGAATCATATTTACATTGTTTTTCTTCCTTTGATGTTCAACATCTGCTTTTAGTGATTCATTATTTTGCTGCAAAGTAGTTAGCTCTTGATCCTTATCGCCCAATCTAAAAGTTAAGAAAAAAAACATGCGGTGAAATTTGAGGGATTCCTCCACACAAGTATTTGTCAATCGACATTATACCATGGTACGGATATGTACTTACAGGCAGGAGCATTTTTAGATCAAGTGACCTACTTTTAAACATTCCTCTCCCTACAACAAAATTTACAGCTCTGTTCCATTTAGCTTTTAACTGCTCTTTAGGGCAGGATACAGATATGCAACCAAAGGAATTTGTCCCGAGGATTACTAACAAAACTAATCTATAAACCAGACTGTGCCATTTTAAAATGCATCTCCAAAGCCACGTGTTCATAGTATCCTGACCAGTGAAAGGATATTCCACTAGAGAAGGTATCATTTTGTAGACTTCCATTGTAGAAACCATCATTCCAAAGTGCAGGGGGAAAAAAAGTAATCCTTCAATTATAATGCTATAATTATTCTAAGTATTTTTTTCACTGCTTATGTTGCACACAAATAGAATTTACTAAGTGCAACCAATGTATGCTGGGTAACCTGGAAGTCCATAATGGTCTCTTCTGCAGTGGAATATCCTTTCACTGGTCAGGATACTGTGAGCACATAGCTTTGCAGATGGGTGCAAGCTCATTTTCTAAATCTCAGAATCACAAGGATAATAATAATAACTTTCATTTGATATAGCACCTTATCACGTCATTGAGACATCTCAAAAGAGCTTCATGAATACATTCTAAAGTGGACTGACTAAAACATTTCAGTGTCAAAGTTTCTTCCAAGTTTGGGGTTAATACATTATTACAAAGAGCAGTATTTTGCTCAGCGCTCAGCCAAATTTTTAAACTACCTACAAATATTTAATCTTCTACTCAGAAATTTAGTGCATCAATATCCTCGAACACTGGATAGGTTGTGACCAGGTAATCCAATGTACAGAATTTGCTCTATACACAAACCAAAAAATATTTTCCTTTCATTAAAACGAATTCAGGCATTTGGGTGCTAAGATTTTATGCCACAGAATAACATGCAAGTTTTTATCTAACATTCTCCATTCAGAGTTTTCAGCAGATACTGCACTATTTCGGTCTTGACAAGAGCAAGGCTTACATAAAGTCTAGCCCTGATCAAACGTTTTGTATTAAAATTAATCTATAACAACACAAGTTTAACAAGTATATTACGGAAAGAGTGGCTGTGTGGCCCACTTACACATTCAGTAGAAGTTCACTCTTGAGAAGTTCACCTTCCTGTTTCAAAGAAACAGAAGTGAATTAAACCAAATCCAAATTCCAACATAAAAACATTAGCATTGCATCAAAATATTAGTGTCAGTAACACTCTTGAAGTTCAATCAGACGCAACTTGCAAAAAGTTCTGTTCGCACAATGTCAGGATTGTTGAAAAGGATGAACTTTTACATAATTCGGGACAAATTAATTCAGATGAGCAGGGCTCTTTATACAAATGCTGTGCGCAATTGGCTACTACATTTCACCCACAAAATGCAGTCAATTCATTTTACAGTATACTCTGTGAAGCGCTTTGAGATGTCTTGAAGACATGATAAAGAACTATATCAGATGCAAGGATTATTATTATTATATTCATTCACACAGCAAGCCTTGTGGAACCATGATATCCATTTGCAGTTCACATGCCAGTTTCATGCTTGCCTTCTAATATTGGTTTGACTTTCTAAAAATAGGTCTGGTGAAGTATAGCTTTGTAAAAATAGCTAGTGCAAAGATACTGACATATGTAGAGCATGAAATGAACAGACATAACAGGGTCTGGGGAATTCAATGTGGCTGGTCAGCTCTGCATATGATTTTCCAGTCGTCAGACTTCGTTTTAGTTTTGCATAATCAAAAAGGCTCTCAAGCTGAATGGAGATTGTAAGAAGACAGCAATATTCATTGGGTATGTTCAAATGGGATTATTTGAAGTCTTTAATTGTCTTTTGAACATAATGCCATTGTGAAACAAATGTAGAAAGTTAAAATGCTCCAAGGTGATTAATTGGACTATGCATGAATCACAATTGCAGAAAGACAATAATAAAAGCATTTAATATAGCGCCTTATCACATCTTTGAGACATCTTAAAGCGCTTCACAGAATATACCGTGAAGTGAACTGTATATTTTGTGGGTGACACGTGGCAGCCAATTGCACACAGCAGAGTCCCACAAACAGACATGGATTGAGTGATCAAATTATTATTATTTTGTTTAAGGGATTATTACTCTCGGAAAAAGCGATCCGCCCATTGACTAACAACCAAGTTGCTAGTTACTGCTAGGTAAACAGAGGCGCGTGGAGTAAGGAAACTTTTCTAACTAAAAAAAAACTATTTTGCAGGCGAAAACAAGTCTTACCTGCTCTGCAACTTTATTGTGCAACTCCTGAATCTCAATTTTCAATATTGTGTTTTCATGGGCCACACTCTTTTTTAAACAAAAAGAGCAAATTAACATTTTGAAGCTTTTAAAACTTTTTTTTATATAAAAGATACCATCACGGCTCTTCCAGCACTTTACAGGTTACCTGCATTTCGCTCACAATGCCAGTGGATTCTTTACTACTATCTTCCAGAGCAACCTTCAAAGAGTAAACTTCTTTTTCTTTCTTCCCAATCCTGTAACCAAAACGCCAGTTATTTAATATGCCTGTTCCTGATCGGGAAATAGTATGACACACCAAGCATACTTACATATTCTCAAGCTCTTTCACATTTGATTCAGCAGAAATCTAAGGGTTTAGAAGGAACCTCAGTGTTACCAAGCAGAAAGAATAATTTATTCAAATACCTGAACTTTTTTTTCAGATAAGACACCTTCAAAATATTAAGACAAACTGCTAATATTACAACCTGCTAGAATAATGTTGCAGACTAAAATATTACTAAACAATAACCTTGACAGAATCTCAAGAAACTGCTTTAATGAAGAATTTCAATAGAATCACTGTAGCCTATAAAGATCATGGAATCAACATTTTCCACTTATCACTTTAAAAATCCTTTATTCTTAGCTTTGAAACTTCTCTCTCTCTACGGATCAATTTACAGAGTGGAGGTACTGTGAGCAGCAAAAAGGAATTATTTCGTTCTTCATTTAGATTTGGGTAAAAGCAAGATTGAAAGCATTAACTGAAGTTGTACCTCACGCAGTACATGACAATTTGGCACCTCAGGTATACTTTGTACACAAGTGTTGAGTATAACAGCAATGAACTCTGAACAAACATACATTATAACTAGTTTCATTTCTGAGGAGCATGCGGGGGAGGAAAACCCTACAAGTTGACAGAGTGGAGAGAAAAAAAAAGTAATTTTCATCCAGGATTAGGATCATAAAATGTTTTAAAATTTCAGCAATACTTGATATTGTTGCTGAAATTTTAAAATTGTATTACTTGATATTACAGAACCAAATTCCAGAATGGTTACCAGTTCTAGCTTGATGAAAAGGGTATTATTTTGTTGCATTCCAAACGATAATCTAATTTTTTTCAAAAAGTAAAAGGGTGATAGGCATTCGGAACAAACCATCCATATAGGCCAGTGCTGGCCAAACTACAGCCAGCAAAAAGCGCTGAGTTCCAAGTCCCAACATAGGGCTTGAACCGATAACCATCCGACTCAGAGCAGAGAGCGCTACCAACTGAGCAAGAGGACACAAATTGGATGGTAGTCCACATCAAATCTACTCTTGCCTGAAAAGACTACATTATTACAAGCACCATGTAAAATGCACTGTCCATCACAAAATGACAAATTGATGCTGCTAAATTACACATCTTTAGGTGTATTATGGGTTGTGGGTCATTTACGACAGGTTTTGCTCACAAAGTATACGGTCACTGCACTTTACAGTATATTCTGTGAAGCCCTTTGAGACGTCTCGAAGACGCGATAAGGCGCTCTATCAAATGTAATTTTTATTATTATTTGTGTTCTGTTCAACAAAAATAAAGCAATTTGTTAATCATGAGCCTATTACCTGATCAGCTTTCTGATGCTGAGCAATTTGAACTTTCTTCTGGAGTGTCTCAATTTCTTCTTGCAATGCCTTGATGTGACGGCAAAAAAAAAAAGCATTGAACAGATGGCAATAAGTGAATGGGTGTGAATCATACACACAAGCTGCATGTTATCATTGCATGAACTATTCTACAGCATGTGCCCCCCCCCGTGACTATTTTATGCACATGCAATGCAACCTGCTGGCCAGGCCACAAATTGACCACCCATGCATGGCAGCATTTCACAGCAGCAAAGTCTAATGTGAAAATCGTGGTGAGGGAAGTAAAAATTAATTTAAAAAATACCTTAATTGTTTGTTGATGGTTTACAACTTCAGACAATTCCACTTCCAATTGGCCTTCAACATTATTGATTTTTCTTTCCTGCTCAAAAACACTAGGGAGTGGTGGAAACATCTGGATTAACACACATGTGTTGCACAGAATTTTTAAAATAAATTAATTAAACATTTCAAACAACTTACGTTTCTTGCAGTTCTTCCGCCAGTGAGACCTAAACAAACAAAACCTTATTACGCCAAGAACATCTGAAGTAAATACATTTGCCATAACAGCTTTCCACACACTGCATGTCTTACCCAAGCACTACACATAAAATATAAGTGATGCAGAGGGAGTGTTGTGCAATAACTTCACAAGTGAACAATTTCAATTTTGTGAGGTCCCATGATTCTCACCTACATATTAAAAAGTCCCCGACTATTCTGCATAATAGCAAGGTTGGAGGGAGAATTGTTAAATTCCTTAAAGGCAATACAATGCGCAGTGTGCTAACTGAATCATTTTAAGGAACTGTGCTCCTCGATAAACGAGGCTTTATAAACGAAGCTTGAGATTAGTTACCAAAGGGGGCTGCATTAAACATTACTGAAATCTTTGGAGATTCAAATATATGAATATAGGTCTCCAATTTTTAATCATTACCTAAATAACATATACGTAGGTTACTTTAAGATACAGTCCTCAGTTACTGAATTCTTTCTTTGCATCATAATCAAGATAATGTCAGTGATGTGTACATCACAGGGCACATAGTCATTCCACACCATACTAAACTCCCCAATATTTTCCCCCCACCCCGAGAACAAATGACAAGCAGTCAATTTAACAAAACTGCTGTCAAATAAAGGAACTCAATTCCATCTACAAAAAAATACTATCAGGTCGAACTATCTCAAAGCTATGAAACTCCATGTTGGTGACAGACGCCAACTAGTTTTAAAAAAACAGATTGGATAGGACTGACCAGAATTAAAATTGGAAGTTTGCTTTTACAGTGGAGCAATTTCAATCATTGAAGCAATGCCGTATTAATACTGAATAGCATGGTATTGCATCCAATCATGCTGGCTACCACATATCTGTTAAGTAGCCCCCCCACCCGACCCCCTTCAAGAGATAGTAGGGTGGGATTTTTATACTCTACTGAGCGCCAGTCTAAAAACCGAGTTTGAAGACCTAATGTGGGCCTTCAACCCTCAACCTTTTGACCCAATAATGCTACTAATTGAGCCAGGGAAGGGACGGACAGCTGTAATATAGTCAAGTGAAATCACAACTGGGAATGAGACAGAATACAAGCATATATTACCTGGCTCTCCATTTGATACCGTAATTCAGTAATTTGTAGTATCACCTTCTCATTTCGTTCCTCAAGGTCCTTTTTAAAAAAAGTTAAAAGAACTAGTCACTCACAAAATTCACTCAAGAAGGGACACAAAAATAATTCTCAAAGGATGCCAGACATACAAATATTATTGTGAAATAGAGAACCATTTGAAAAACCACCTTTTACTATACAAAAGATTTCCTTTTAGTGTACACAGACTGACTTTATAATTGTTTTATAACAACTCTGAACAATTAAGTCACTAAGTTTGTTCCATACTAAAAATGGCCAAACAGAAAAATGTAACAAATCCCATTGAGTATAATCTACTTTTAAGTTTGGTTAAAATTTAAAATGCTATAAATTCTTGATCATATGAAAAGATCTATGTCTAGTTACATGGCGAACCATTTTAGTTTTAGAGTGCCTAATAATTAGGATATGGGAAGCACTGCTGGGAGCAATTGTTGAGATAGAATCCATATCAGATTTCAAAAGGAAACTAGAAAAATATCTGAAAGGGAGAAGACAACATATGGGAAAAAAGGGCAAGTAACTGAAGTGAAAGGATTGCTCTTAAAAGAGCCAGCAAAGATCCAATGAAAGTCAAAAGGCCTTTTTCTGTGCTTCAAATTTCTAGAGAAGGTCCTATCGTGGTGTCATACAACGGAGCCCTTCCAGCCAGAGTCAGCAATCACAGCCACAGACCCGCAATATTGCAGCCATGTTATTGTGGGAACTATAGGAATTTACAACACACAAGACAGCCATTGGCTCATCGTGTCTGTGCCGACTTCAAGAGCAATCCTTTTTAGTCTCACTTATCTGCCCTTTCCCCATACCCCTGTGGCTATCTGTTAGTTGCCTCTTGAAGGCAATATAAATGTTGTCTCAATTACCACTCCTTGCAGTGCCTTCCATATCTTAACTACTCTGTGGTGAAAAAAATTCTTGTTTATTAACCATCTTAAATTGATACCCTCTAGTTACTGAATCACCAACCTGTAGAAATAATTTCTCCCTAATTTCCCCCTTATAGTTTTAAATCAAGACCACCCTCAACTTTCTTTGTTCGAGCAATGAGAGCCATCAACCTGGGCTGTTTTCACAAAGCGCACAGTAATTTGCTCAGTCATACTGAATGAGTACGCTAGAAAGTGGTTCAATTACTCTGGGGGGGGGGGGAAGAGTAGAATGAAAAAAAATTAAACCATAAGTCAACACAATGCCTTGCATAATGATAATCCTTGCATTTGATATAGTGCCTTATCACATCTTCAAGACGTCTCAAAGTGCTTCACAGAATATTCTGTGAAGTGAATTGACTGTATTTTGTGGGCAAAACTCAGCAGCCAATTGTGCACAGCAGTTTGCCACAAACAGTTGTGGATTGAGTAACCAAATTTATTTTTAAGGAATTATTCGATAGTATCGCTAATCAACTAACAACTGGATTCCTACTTACTGCTAGGTAAACAGAGGCGTGTGGAGCAAGGAAACTTTCCTAACATTTCGCCCTGCTGGGAATCTAACCCAGGTCTCACTGGTGAAGCGAGTGCTCTAACCACTGAGCTACAAGACTCCATAATTATAGCACTGAACATCTTACCTGTATTTTAGTTGCCTTGTTTGAAAGTGCTTGTGCACTCTCAGACAACGAGTCTTTCAAAGAATTAACTTCTTGCTCTTTTTTTCTAATTCTGTAAGAATAAAATGCAAGTCAGATAACCTGCATCACTGATTAAACTTGGATTGAACATACTGAGGACATACTCACATATTCTCAGCTTGTTCCAGTTTTGATGCAGTGGAAACCTAGGAGTTCAGAAGTTAAAAGATCAAAATTCAGAGTACCTGAAACTGGTCAGTAATTGCACAGAACTTTTTTAATAAGCAAAATCAATAACAATCATCTTTGGAATTGATATTACGCTTTTCCTGTCAGGTGGACATCTCAAAGTGCTTCACATGATTTACTATAAAGTGTAACGATTATTTTGTAGGCAAATGTCAACGTTACCAACCTCCCAAGAACAAATGAAAAAAAATTAAATGGTTAAAATATCAAATGTAACATGTACATAAAAGGGGTGAATTGGAGCCAAGACTCCAAAGGTCAGCTCAATTCTGATTGGCACCAATTATATAGAATAATCTTTCCATCTGATATGGAACCTCATGTTGTCAAGGTGACTCATTTCAAACTGAAATATAATGACTACTGGTGAGCAAACACCACAGCCAATTTCCCACAACTAGTTCATGAATTGAATAACTTTGTTTTAATAAAACTTGAGGAATTGTTAGGCTGGACAGTGGGAGAAATTCCCTTCTTTTTAAAATAGTTCCATGGGATCTTTAACTTCCACCTGAACAGGCACTCGGAAACCCAGTTTAACTCATTTGAAGGACGGCATCTTCAAATGCAGCACTGCATTTGAGTGTCCACCTAGACCATGATATATTTTTTATATATATTATATATATACATAATATATATACACATGCACAAATAAATAAAACAGCTTATGCTTGGTATGATTGGGTCAGAAAACAATTTCTTACCAATTCAGTTTTCTGAAACTGCGCCTCCTGTCCTTCCTGTTTAAGCATCTCATTATCCTCCTTTAAAGCCTTTGAGGACAAAATAGACCATTTACATCAACACATGAAACAAACCTGCAATCAGCACTTCAAAGAAACTAGGTGAGGCAACACATTGTTGTTATAAATGGAGAAATACCTGGATTTCTCTCTCATTGATTTCCATTTTAATGTTCTCGGCTTCCAACAATTCTTTAGCTGACTGAATCTGTTTATTCTGCTCATCAATGCTGCAGAGATAAACATGCATCAACATACGTGCAAAACCATTGTATAAAAAAATATATAAAAGACCTTGCTATCGTTCTTACGTTTGATGAAGATCTGCCATCAGTGATGAAGAAGAAACCTAAAACATTAAGAGCAGCAAAACACAGGGTATTAATCCAAATCAAATACAGTATTGATACTACAGATAAACTTTAAGAGAGACCAATTTAAGAACATATAACCCCAATTAAAAACATTCAGACCAACTAAAAATTGAGTTAGCAATTAGAATTCTTTTCATTTATTATATAATGGTAAATACCCACTTTCCTCAACTCATTCCAAAAGATAAACAAGTTTCTCAGGTTACACCTAGCTTGTTTACTGGCAGGTTACCAAACACCATCATTTCTACTCAAGGTCCTTGTTTAATGGCTTCACCTTTACTTCTATGGACATAAATCCAAATCTATTTTACCTTTGTTTTCCCTTCTGGAAATAAGCATTCAAGATAGAGGGCAAGTGTTTCTATTGAACACCACCACACAGCTACAAGTAGTTTATACATAACCTCAAATGCAGCACTCACAATTAACATTACAGGAATGATTACAAAAATAGGACATGCCTAACACAATATACCAAGTTTATTTTGATCAGAGGAGAAGCACTTTATTGAGTGTATACACTTTGAATAACAACCGTTTAAAAAAATAAGTTTCCATTACAATGTAAGCAAGGGGTTAATAGATCAATGCAATAACCAGCTTGATTTCTAAATTAAATCTAAGACCAAGTGCAAGTCTGAACCACCAACAAGAAGCTGGATAACATTACAGCACTAAAGATTTATTATTACACCAGTTGGGTTTCACAAAATTAAACTAGACTTTACCTGTGCAGCCTTTTCAATTTCAAGCGCTAGAATCCTTTGCTTTAAAATCCTATTTTCTTTATCCAAGGCCTTTTGGAATGAAAAACAGTAAAAATTTAGTTGTAACGTCACTTTAGGTCAATTCCGAGATATGAAAGTGGCAGAGGAGGAAGGAATACCTTTCAATGTATTTTTAAAAATCTGTCATTTATCTTCACATCATTAATTATTATTGCCAATAACACAAAATGTGGAAGGAAACAATCCCCCTTCCACCCCCACCTCTGTCTGTGGTCATTTAATTGATGACTGTTTTGGGTTAGACTGTACATCAATACTGACTTAGCTGCTCTCAGCGACAAAGTGAGTCAGGGGGCTCTAAAATTAACCTCAACACTCCTGGAGGACCAGGAAAGAGAATTATCTGGGTTTTTGTCATTTGATCTATATCGTATGGCACCTGCAGTAAAATATTGGTAAACATGTGTGGGAACAGGATCGGGAATCAGTTGTGATGCACATCCTTCCTTCTCTCTTCCCCCCAATCCCCACAATCAAACAGCTCATCAACAAGTCACTGCTGTGCATAGATATGTAGCTATTTAGTGAAATAATCAGACCCAGAATAAGGAAGCAACTAAACTCAGGGATCTTGTTCAAAGAAAATGTCTACTATTTTTTTAAAAAATAGCGTTCAATAACATACATGACATCCTCTTTGTTCCCAGTGTGCCAGTTATGACAGGACCATTGTCATAAATTAACTACTCACCCATTTATGGTGCTATGCAGCGTTAAGACAACCCACCCAATGTGGAAAGACAAAGCCAATTGACTCATGGTCAAAGAACTAACACAGTGAAAGAACTCACATTCTCTCCCACATATATTTCAAGCTACAAAAGAGCTGTGTTTAAGCATTGTTCTAGCTTGTTGAAATGCCGGATGTACCTCGATTTCCTCGCCCTTGTTTGCCACTTGAATAAGTCCGGTTTCTAGGAGTTCTTCAACTGTTTTTATTTTTTCATCCCGGTCTTCAATACTGTCAAAAAGTTATAACATGCATCAAACGAGAGCAAGCTTGACAAAATCAGATTAGTATCAAACAAATGGCTAGGTGACTCACCTTTTCTGCATCTGTTCCACCATATATAAAGCTGAAGCCTGGACAAGGAAAAATACATTTGAGAATAGAAATTTGGACTAAAGATTTCAGAACCCTTTTAGGGCAAGAGTTGGTCACTCTACCTTTGTATGTAGCAGGCATTCAGCATGCCGATACACTAAGGGTAATAACCAGAAACATCTGAAAAGCACCAATCCCTTCACCCTAGTATGAACATTTCCTATACTATTCCCACTAGATGGTGAGCTTTGTCTTTCAACTAAAAGCAGGAACTCATCAGTAAAAACTCAGCAACATGTCTCCAAGTGTCCATAGGCTTTAAGATGGGGGGAAGAAGAGTAAAGGAAGCAAGCGGAACTGAAGTGTGGCTCGTCAGGCAAGGAAGAGAAAACTGAGCATAAGTACACATAAATCAAACCATGCTATGAGGAAAGACAAAGCCCATAAAAGTGTGGCAAAAGAACTAATACAGTGAAAGCAAACTTATGGAATGACTGGAGAAAACGTGACCAGCCACAAGTCAGTTACAGGAGACATACCACCTTGTTACAGCACAACTAACAGCAGCACAACCCCTCCCAGGCCATGCACAAAAGCTGCATTATTTCCCCAAGGAACCTTTCTCAATCCACCAGCTAAAGATAAAGGACCCAGCCACTGGTTCCTTTTGCCACAAGAATATTAATGCACTGCACATGATGGTCAAGTAGTCTAGACGAGCTTTCTACTAAAAGTATTTCCATAATTAAGTACTCAAATTTACTCAAATGTAAACCACTGGACAAGAGTGATGAGATGTAGTATTTCTTTAACTGCAAGGGTTATTATCAAAACCTACCTGTTCAGATGTTTGAGCCTGCAGCTTTTGTATTTCATTTGTCAAAGTTCTGTTCGCTTTCTGTAGATTCTTAAATGGTAATAAAAGCAGATTTCAAAATTGCATAACATATATAAATAAAATCACAATATCTATAATAAACAATCTGCATTTCGTACAGCACCTTGTCTTGACAATGAGATATCTCAAAGCATCTCACAGGATGTCATTGTGAGGTGTATTGACAACCTGCAGGTGAACGTTGCAAGCAATTGCACATAATTATATCCCACAAACCGCCATGGAATGAGTGACAACGTATTTGGGAGATTGTTGGCCAGGACACCAGGAGAACTCTCTTTTCTTTTCAAGTAGTGCCATGGGATCATTAAATTCCACCTCAATGGGCAGTTCGGGACCTCGTTTAACTTCTCATCTGAAGGACAGCCCCACTGATAATGTAGGACTCCCCAGTACTGCACTGGAATGTCAGACAATGTGAGCTCAAAAGTCCAAACACGGGACCTGAATCCATAACTTTTGACATGAAAGGCAAGCAGAGCTACCAATTGAGCCAGGCTGACACACACCAAGCAGCTCCTACCCCATTATTATGCAAACCTGTCTGCAATATAGAAACTGCTTCTGAATTCTGTGCTTTTATTATTCATAACCTATATCCAAGCTGCTGGTAACAGCTCAGGCAGCTTCATGCCATCAAGTATGGCACAGTTCACTTAGTATCTAAACTTTCAAGACTTGATCAATGAACAAATTTTGAAAAGAACTAGCCTGGAATCCTAACAAGTTTCCTTAAAACGCTATCCAACATCCCAAGTGATTTTGTGTTTGATTATGCCATTTTGTTATTTTAGTGTCATGACAGAAACAAGCTTACAATGGAGAAAAAGAAATTCAACCTTAAAGAACAAAATAAATTTTAGAACACAAATTAGTAGTAGTCACACAAGTCAGATTGTGCTAATTGAATCACACCCAAAAATGTAAAACAATTCGACAAAATGCATGCAGAAGTAGGTTAGAAAATTGGCAAAGGAAGACATGAGAAATAGTTCTGCAAACAGCATTGAACAAGTCACACCTGCCAAAAAAAAAATCACTGTAGGCTCTCCAGGTGAGGGACAACATAAAATGTTTGTGTGAGAACGATAGAAAAAAAATACCACCACAAGCCAGTCAAACAGGTTGTGGACTGTAAGCAGATCAGTCCACAAAGACATAATAACATTGCAGCCAGAGTATAAATCCAGCATTAAGTCGTACCAATAACTATGCCAAATATGTACATCCCTTTGAAGTAGGGGGGATTTTTCCTTTTAAACGATATTACATACCTGGAATTCCTGTTCCTGGTTTGCGACTTTAATACGTTCACTTTCCAAAGATTCTTCCATTCTCTTCAACTTGTTTTCTCTTTCTGCAATCCTAAAAAAATGAACGGTTAAATTAGTAGCTCATTTAAATCTATGCAGAGTCAAATAGTCCACCCAGCACCAACTTGTTTTAACCTTTCTGACGACTAAGTTGCATTATTTAGTTAGTGACAGTCTGACCCCAAAAATTGAAGATTTATCTGTTCGCTACATTGACAAGGTCAACCACAAGATATTCCCAAGCTTCAATATCACACAAGCCTTGGGTATGAAATACGGTTTGACAGCTTAGTTTTATGCCTGATAAAAAGTGGAAATGAGGCACCAATTTGCACATAGCAGCATCCCACAAACAGTCAGGAGGTGAAAGACCAATTTATCTGGAAGAATGCTGTTCAGGACACTGAAAAAACTCCTCTTTTTGAATAGGGTCATGGCATCTTTAACATCCACCCAGAAAGACAGTTTAAAATCTTATCCACAGGACAACCGCTCTAAATATGCAGTGCTCCCCCAGTATCGCACACAAGTGCCACCCTAGCCCGACGTGCGGCTTGGAGACCCACAATCTTCTGACGCAGAGGCAAGACTGGTAACAAGAAAGGAATAGGCTCTGAATGCTGGCAGCTTAAGGTTTACACTTACGTTTGATGCAAGTCTTCCACTAGACACACCGCAGATGCCTGCATTAAAACAAGATGCATAATTCAGAAGTCAGAATTGTAATCTTACAAATATATTCTAATACATGCTTTGAAAACTGGATCTGCCTATGGAACATAAAAATTGAAGCCAAAACATTTACATAAATGCATGTGTAATAGTGGGAGCTGCTGTATTAATGAGCTGTTTGTGTAAACTAATTTTACAGAGAAACTAGTAATCAACAACAACTTGCATTTATATAGCGCCCCCCATACCAGGCAGCGTCTCAGAGCACTTAAATAGTTGTTCTATTGCTAACTTACATGTAACATTTTCCATCTATGAGCAATTATTTGTAAATGAAAAAAGTATAATGAATGTTAGAGCCACAAATCACCTATATTTGACACAATGTTTATACCAAAGTTTTAGTCTCTTCCACATTTAATAGGAAGGGATGTGGTCAGCTAAATAGCAACCTCAATAAATTCTTCAGCATAAAAAGACCATTATTTTTAAGTGCATGGATATATCAGACCAAAGTGTATCTTCCCTTAAACTAATAAAAAAATGTGCTTCCTACTGTCTGCAATTGAACTATTAAGCTTTGCAGATTTGTCACTTACTAAAACATCCTTCTTAAGTCAGTCGATGAATCAACAAATGCTCATTTTCCAAGTGTTTTCTAAAGTTTGAACCAGTTTAATCCATTTATTTTGAAAAAGCAAATGCAGTTTTAAAGTGAAAATACTTGCACCAGCTCAAAGTGTTGCCCATTTTTTTCCCTGCATCCAGCACTGAACTCTGACTAAAAGGTTGGGTTGCTAAAATTGCCACATATCATTTCATACATTTGAAGAGGAGTTTGAAGCAATACTGGTGCCTATGATAATGAAAAACATTTATTGCTCCCAGAGAGCAAAAACATATCAGCCATGGCCAAGATAGAGATCCCCTCGTGTTCATAGCTGAAATCAGGGAAGTCAGCAGAGTAGAACAGGCCCAGATACTACTCATGGATATTTTATCTTTAAGACGTGCATCAGCAGTTCAAAGTGACAAACAAAACGGAAGTAAATCCCAAAACCCGAGATAGTACAATAAGCTACTCTGTTCTAAAGTGAGCTAACAATGCGCCAAATTAAAAATGCCTCATGTTATATCTTGATAAACTACAAAATCCGCACATGCAAAAGGTCACTATACCTGTGATGCCAATTGTGCATGAAGATTTTGCATCTGTGCATTCATGGTTCCTTTCTGTTCCAAAAGTTCCTTTTATTGTGAAGCAAAAGACCACAGAGAAAAACAGATGAGACATGAAATGAGAAAAGAAATGTGCAATGATTTTGGGTGTTTGTAGCAATCTCTTGGATCCCATTCCAGAAGAACTGTATTGGTCTTCTCAGTCAAACTCATCATATCATTTTATTCTATTTTAACTAAGAAATAGGGCTCTCTACAACTACAGTCATTACCTCCCCACTTACTCAAAATCTTCAGCGAAGCTGATATAACTATTAAGGTTGAGATACGAAAGGATTCAGTTAGAGGTGTGTAAATTTAACCAGACTAGTAGAGTTAAGAATGAGCAAAGAACAAAAGGCCCAAACTGTTGCTTAAATTAGTTCAAATAAAACTACCTGTTCAGACATTAAAGCCAATAATAATAATAATCCTTGCATTTGATATAGCGCTTTTCATGTCGGGAAGACGTCCCAAAGCGCTTCACAGAACACACTGTAAAGTGAATTAACTGTATATTTGTGGGCGAACGCGGCAGCCAATTGCGCACAGCAATGTCCCACAAACAGTCGTAGATTGAAAATGACCAATTTATTTTTGTTTTTGGTTTTGGAGGGATTATTATTAGGCTCTGTGTGGAGTAAGGAAACTTGCCCAAGGTTTCGCCCTCTGCCTGGAATTGAACTCAGGTCTCTCACTTGCAAAACGAGTGCTCTAACCACTGAGCTACAGGACTCCACGAGGCATACAGGACTGTTTATCCAGTTACAAAAGGGCAAACATTTTTCTCCTAGAGAGTTTGAATTTCCTACCGTTGGATCTACCTTTTGGGGTGAGTGAGCTTTCACCCATCATGCCCCCCACCCCATTCTGAAACTCAATCTACAATGCATTCTACGGAATTAAAGCATGACAGTACTGCCAGTGACTTTTTAATTCCCCATCCTGAAAGATGGTCTTTCACAAACATTATATGGGAATCGGTGCTGCTGGTACTCAGTCAGGATTCCCCAATGATCAGTAAAGTGTATGCACTTTACTACATGTTCCATTAAGAAAAAAATTGCCTTTGGGCCCCACAGAAGTTCTCCTCATCGACATTAAAAGGCTACTCGATACAAAGAGGGAAAGAAGCTATTAAACATGAAAACTATAAGATATACTTTACATTAAGGTTATTGCCTACTTTCTCCCTGAACTACCTCAATTTTCAAAAAACATTAGCTGCAAAAAAAATACTTCTGCACATACCAGGAAGAGACTTCCATAGGTGTCATAGCTCCAAGCTCCCTGCAATCTTTACCCTCCAGTCTTTTGTGAACTAGAAGACTGAGAACAAAACCCATATCCCATTGCATCATTATACATTAGAATACGACCAAACTGGTCTATGCCGGTGTTTAAGCTCCACATGAGCTTCCTCCTGCCCTTCCTCAACTAAGCCTTCAAGCATAATCTTCTGTTACAAATCAATACATCAATATGCTGTTAAATCAAGCCTCTTTTAAGCCAACAGGCCGGAAATCAAAGATTTTGTTCAATAAAATTTTAAAAAATCTCAGCTACAATGTGCCGCAAGGAAATGATCGGACCATTACTCTCTGCCAGGACTGCTGCTAATCTGATTGATTTCCTGTCAGTCATCACACCCTGGACGAGTTCTACTTTCTCCAGCTAAACGTCAACAAGCCTGAGGCTCTCATGCTTGGCTCCAGTCAGCACCTCAGGCACTGATGGCATCGATCTGCACAGATGCTCACTTCATCTCACAAAGCCAGTCTGGACGAACCTGGGTACAATATTCGACCCTAACCGTTCTTTAAACCTTATAAAGGTCTCTTACTTTACTTAACATTTTGACAACTCTCCTACATCGCCCATCTCCACCACAATTTCTCCCTTCTGGCTGCCAGGATCCTCCAATCATGGCTTAATGATGTTCAGGTTCTGCTTGCCAGACTCCAACTCCTCCCTACACAACCTTCCTTGCCTCCATTGGCTCTCCATCTCACACAGCAGAGGAATTCAAGAACATCCTCCTCACGTTCAAATCCCACCAGTCGCATCCTACGCCACTTCTGCAACCCTACTGCTCCAGCAACTCCCTCCAATCAGCGAAACCCAGCCTGCTTCAAGGCCCCCACGCGATCCACCCCACCTTTGGGGTGAGTGAGCTTTCACCCATCATGCCCCCCACCCCATTCTGAAACTCAATCCACAGCATCTCCACCTCGACCCCATCCCCACCTCAAAATCCCACCTTAAGACCTTGTATTCAACTATGCTTTTGGTCACTGCACCCCTACAACCACCGCCCTCCGTGAAGCGCTTTGCGATGTCCTCTTAACATGAAAGGCACTATCTAATTGTTATTCAGAATTTGCATTTGTCAGGCGAAGGTGCTTTGAAGGACCTAAATGAAATCTCCCAGTCAATACCTGTGCCTGCAACTTCAAGACATCATCTGTATTCGCTCGCTTTTGCTCTGCATCCAGCAGCAGCACTACTTTTTCTTCCAGTTGTTGTTTGGACACCAGGTTGTCTGTCAACTTGCTGTGCAAGCTCTGTACTTCCTTGTTTTTGTTCCCAATCTCGTTTTCTGCAACCAGCAGTTTGCTTTGCAAATCTGCAAGAAAAGTCATGGATCAAACACCCATTTGGTTTACTGTTCAAACTTTTGTAACCAAAAGCCTCCAATTTGTTCTTTTTTTAAAAAAAGGAGGAATCAAACACCTACAAATCCATCTCCAGATTGTCCACACACAATAGATAGTGCTTTGCAGATTAACATAAAACCACAGAACGTTACTTCTATGGTGTAAACTAATGGCTTTCTATAGGTGAGAAGGGAGACAGTTAGAACAGTGGATGCAAGGCGGAGGGGATCCTGGATGGAGTTCGGGTTGTGTGTATGTATGATGAGAGGGGGGGGGGAAACAAAATGGCTGAAAGCTCGCTCACCAATGGTGGATTGGATGTGGTAAGGGTGCTGAAACAGGCCAGCAAAGCGAACAACTGAGGTGTTAGGGTTGCAGAGGTCACAGAAGTAGAGAGGAAGCAAGGTCGTGGAGGGAGTGAATGGGAAGATGCGGATAGTAGGGAGGGGAAAGAATTGGAGGAAGATTTAGAATGGTGTTGATTACTACATTACGAAAATCCTAGAAAATGTTACCAAAGTAAGATGAATAAAAGCATTTACCTTGCTTTGCTGCTTGGACTTCTACTAGTCTTTTCTCATGTTCTGTAGTTATGTTCCTGAGATACTTCTGCATATCTTCTTGTCTCCTTTCAACCTCCTCCTGCAGTTGGGCCTTTGGAAACAAAAGTAGAAATTCAGTATACTATAACTACATGCCCCGAATGTAAAGAGAAGCTGTAAAAATAAAATTACATTTAACCGTCGATGTCAAAAGGTCAATGTGTTGGAAAATTAGCCCCTGTAACACACCCAACATTCCCAAAACAGATGCAGCATAGTAATATGTAAGGCATAGCTACCTCTGTTGTTTTCTTCCAACCTGCTTCAACCCACTCCCATCCTCAGATGAGAAACTACCAATTAAATCAAAGCAACATTTCCACTTCCCACACTAGCCATCCTGTGTATTGACCAAGTGAGATTTCCAATTTAGCATCAAGTGCCAAAAGCAGCACAATTTCTGACACGAGTCCAACCCACCAGAAAATGTGTTGATGTCCCAAACATATATTGCTAGACCTCTGTACAGAGAAAGAATCCACTCCCCCAAAGAGTTTCAGCTGGAGTCAAATCAGACCCAGATGTGAAAGGTCAGTGTACAATACCCTTCACCTCAGGAATATTGACTGAAATATTACTGACAAATGGAGTATGGTTCAGCATTCCTCAATCTCAATTTTAAGAACATAAGAATTTGTTAGGCAAAAGAAGACCAAGTCCACCCAGTTCACCTTTGACCATCCTGGTAGTAGCATGACATGTTGTCCCCCAAATTATATAATGAGATATTATTTCCTAACAGAAATCTATCCCTAGGGAGCCTATTCCATAGGTTTACTACTCACTCACCGAAGTAACATTTCCGCAGATTTGTTCTGAATTTATATGCCTTCAATTGCACGGTGTGTCCTCTGGTTCAACTGTTCAGTGTATTATTACTAGGGTTGTGCTCAGAGCACTTTTCGGTAACTACTGAGTCCATATACTTGCCAGTAAACCCTCAGACACTTGCAAGCCATTGCTGATCCAGCTAAAAGGTAGTCAATTGCTACATAATTCAATAAGTGGCTAACCAGGAGCTACAAGAACAGTTCAACAAAAACACCACCATTCCATTTGCACTTGTCAATCTCAACATCAGACATTTTTCACTAATCTAATCCTAGACCTGTAGAATTTTGCACCAGTCAGTATTTTCTTCCAAGTTTCCATTAGTGTGAAGTAAAATTTGTTTTGCTTTCATACCTTCAGTTGTTCAACAGTCTGCTCGTAGGAAACCTCCAGATTCTTTTTCTGCACCTCTTCCTGCTGAAGCCGGTTAGTTTTCTCCGTAAATTCATTCATTAATCTGGCGTAGTCCTGTCGCAGTTTGTTCAACTCTGTTGACTGTCTGCATTCCAGTTTATAAGTTAATATTTACAGCACACTAAAAGCAGGCTCTTCCATTTCTTTCCACTATTCCTTGCCAATTCAGGAATACCAATGAAAATTTGGTATTTGGTATGTAGGACAACACTTTACAATATATCTGATGAAGCGTTGTGAGACGTGAATGCATTACCAATATAAGAATTATTACTACTACTACGTTTTGTTTTTAAAAAAAGTAAATTCATACAGCAACATTCATTGGATTTAGCTTCCAGTTTGAGGAAACTCACTTGTTCTCCAATTGGGTGGGAGCCTTGCTCACAGCATCTCTCAGGATGCGGTTCTCTTGTTGTAATGCCTCAATCTGTTCTTGAAGCTGGCGAAACTGCAAGATAAACGTTTTCAGTGATTGACTTATATAAGGTATGGATTAATACATAACCAGGTCTTCTATTTTTCAGGGTTTGTTTTTGACAATTTAAGAGCGTTTATAAGCAATTAGGAAGGCGAACGGTATGTTACCATTCATTATGAAAGGATTAGAGTATAAGAGTAGTGAAGTCTTGCTGCAACTGTATAGGGCACTGGTGAGACCACACCTGGATAACTGTGTCCAGTTTTGGTCTCCTCATTTAAGGAAGGACGTATTTACCTTGGAGGAGGTGCAGCGTAGATTTACTAGGTTAGTGCCAGGGATGAAGGGGTTGAGTTACGAGAATAGGCTGACCAATTTGGGCCTATATTCTCCAGAATATAGAAGAATTAGAGGGGATCTTATAGAAACTTGTAAGATCATCATAGGGCATGATAGAGTAGATAGTGGGAGATTGTTTCCCTTGGTTGGAGAAACTAAAACCAAGGGTCACAACCTTAAAATCAGAGGCCAGCCCTTTCGCACTGAGTTGAGGAAGAACTTCTTCACTCAAAGGGTGGTGAATGTATGGAACTCATTACCCCAAAGGGCTGTTGACGCTCAGTCCTTGAACATATTCAAGACTGAGATAGATAGATTTTTTATTGCAAAAGGGATTAAGGGATATGGGGATAAGGCAGGGTCAGGTTATTAGCTGGAGTTAGATTAGAAGATCAGCCATGATTGAATGGCGGGGCAGGCTCGAAGGGCTGAATGGCCTACTCCTGCTCCTACATGTTATGTTAAATCAGGGTTTTTCAGGGCTTTTGTTACTGTTATGAGAAGATGCACATGTATATGGAGAGAGGTAGCCACATGCATGCGCAGCATCTCCCTCCTCTCACAAACGTTTCACAAGGAGGGAGCAATGAAGAGCGACACATGCACTGTTGGCACACCAAAATACTGTTGAGAGCAAATAAGAGAGAAAAGAAAACCTCACTGTGGAGTTGAGTAACCATTTGTGGTATTTTTCCAAGTTTTATTAGATATTCCATTTTTGTATCAGAATTTTAATTTTAAAAAAGGTCAAAAACAAAAATCAGAAGCCCTTTTATAACAGTATAACATTCATAGAACTATCTTCCCCACAGTGAATCAGATGCATATTGCTGGGACTACACAACATACAAGCATGTTTCTGTATGGAAAGAATGCAGTTACCATGGTGACAATGCCGCATGAAAACTGAGTGAAAGTTATGAAAATTGTTTGCTGTAAAACAAACCTTAGAAAAAGGTTTGTGCACAAATAGTTGTTTTTATAGCTCTGCACTTGAGATACACTGAACAATAGAAACAGTAGGAGTAGATATTCAGCCCCTCAGACCTGTTCTGTCATTTTATAATAAGAACAGAAGAACTAGGAGCAGGAGTAGGCCATTTGGCCCCTTGAGCCTGTCTTGCCATTCGATAAGATCATGGCTGATCTTCTGACCTAACCCTAATTACCTGCCCTATCCCTATATCCCCCTATTTTTAAAAAATCTATCAGTCTCAGCCTTGAAGATGTTCAAGGACTGAGCATCTACAGCCTTCTTGGGTAGTGAACTCCATAAATTCACTACCTTCTGAGTGAAAAAATGTTTCCTCAACTCTGTTCTAAAAGGCTGACCCTTAATTTTAGGACTGTGACCCCTGGTTATAGATTCTCCTACCAGGGGAAACAGACCCTCGGTGTCTACTTTATCCAGTCTTTTAAGAATCTCATATGTTTCAATAAGATCTCTCCTAATTCTTCTGTACTCTAGAGAATACAGCCCTAGTTTATTCAGTCTATCCTCATAGGTCAGTCCCCTCATCCCAGGAACTAACCAAGTGAATCTACGCTGCACCCCCTCTAGGTTAAGTATGTCCTTTTTTAAATAAGGAGATCAAAACTGCACACAATACTCGAGGTGTGGTCTCACCATGGCCCTATGCAGTTGCAGCAAGACTTCCCTACTCTTGTACTCTAAACCTTTTGTAATGAATGCTGACATGCCGTTCGCCGTCTTAGTTGCTTGCTGCACCTGCAAACTAACTTTTTGAGATTGAGATCATGGCTGATCTGTAACTCAAGTCCAGTTACCCACCCTTGCCCTATATCCCTTAATATCCTGACCTAACAAATATCTACCTCAGTCTATGAAAACGTGAATGGATCCAGTATCCACAGCCTTTTAGGGGAGAGTTCCAGATTTCCACTACCCTTTGGTGAAAAAGTGTCTCCTAATTTCACCCCTAAATGGCCTAGCTCTAATCTTAAGATTAGGTCCCCTTGTTCTGGATTCCCCTACCGGAGGAAATAGTTTCTCTGTATCTACCCTATCGAATGCCTTTATTATTTTAAAATCCTCAAACAAATCACCCCTCAACCTTCTAAGCCCAAAGGAATAGCGACCAATACTACAGTCTGTCAAAAAAAAAATCTTGGTCCCTAAAGTATTAAGCAGCAAATAGTAAAATCAGAGGTCTTTCTCAGTTTGCCTCAAGGCATTAGATTCAATGCTTGTCTTTTGCATTTTCAATTAATACATAGGTTTAAATTCTTACAATTTAAATACTATGTAGTAGGTCTCTTCCATGTTGCCATCTCTGCTTTCCAGTCGTCTCAGGAAAGCAATTGAAAAAATATTCATATCATACAATTCTAAGAGCATATATCAGACATGCAAATAGTGAAACTTGTGAATTTTACACCATTTTCTGACGTGAAACCACATTGGTTGGAAGTGTTGGGACAGGCGAAGAAACATTCAACCTAAAATCGGACACACCACTTTCCAAGATCATGGCTGACCTGCAACTCAATTCCACCTCCTTGTCCTCTCTCCATATCCCGATACAATTGGCTATTAAGCATTTATCCATTTGTCTTTTAAATTCATCAATGAATTCTGCCTTCACTACCCTATGGAATTCAATACTCCAACCGCCCGCGGCGTGAAAGAGTTCCCTTGATGGAATGTATAATGGAGAAAGTTCTTAAAAGATTACCTGCATTTGAGTTTCATTCATATGATCCTGGTAGCTGACTTGCAGTTTGTTCTGCAGAGCTCCAAGCTCTTTCTCAAGAGCAGAGCGCTGTTCCCTTAGTTTGGTCTCAATAACACTGGCTTTCTGCTTTTCAGTCACCAACTCCTAAAAGGGAATTTTTGTTTATATTAAAAAAAGTGCTAGAATCACATTAAAAATCTTGAGCAATTTTTCTTGGGTTCACATTATAGCGTACATAGTCAGGAATTCGAAAAATCCCAATGCTGGGATTTGGAATGGAAGGGTGTGGGTAAAAGTGTTTTGTATCCTAGATAAAACACAGAGCTTGCATAACAACTTTTCCACTTGAAAAGTTATTGTTTTCAAAATATACAAATGGGATGAGCACACAGAGCACACGAGCTTGCAGAAAATGCAAACAGATAAATGCTCAAACATTAAGTGCATATAAAGGCTCCACTACAGGAAAGTCCAGTGAATACTGGGGTGCACACAATAATTGCTCAGACTTAGACAGCTGGATTAACATTCATGTAATAAATACTTCTCAAATATTTAGATTTAATTCTCCACAGTTACATGGTTACAACAGAATGGACATGAATGGTGTAATTCAGGGCTTATTGACAGTAAAGTTTCACACCAATATTTAGACCTTGAGCTGAGAAAATAAGACTTCCAGTTTTTAAAATAATTAAATAAGCTATGGTTAAAAGTAACAAACAAAATCCCTGAATGGTTTTGTCAAAATAATCAAAAAAAGCTTTTGAATAAACAGCAGGTATTAACTTGTAATCAAATATTTTTCCTCAGCTCACAAAACAAGAGAGATGGAAGTGATTTAATTTATGAACAAGAAAATAAGTGAATTGTATTTGAGGGGAGGCTGAAAGTTATTGCTGCACTAAATAATAAGGATCAACTGCCAAAAGTGCTTGCAGCTGAGTTTCTGCTAGGCTTGAAACTAATTCAGACAGGCACATCACCACTGAGCCAGAGGGCAAGAGTATACAGATTGTACCGTCAAATCGTTTCACATCGGCAAATTCAGGTTATGAAAGCACACCAATTAACATGCATAGTTTGCTGATGTCTACGTGGCTTACTGACTTATAATTTTAGGCTTTGTAATGCACAGGACAATTTATTGAGTTACTCTGCTTTTCCTTCAGTATCAGAAATTTATGTATGGATGTAGGAATGAGTTTTAAGACCCCTTTGAGGTATATCATCCTAGATTTATTCCTAAACCATTTTCATTGTTTAGTTTCCATTTCTTAATTATATCCCATGTATATTGGTAAGTTACCTTTCTTAAATTGATCGGTTGTTACAGATTCAGTACATTTGGGAGAAGCTACAAACCTTTCATGAAGGTAACTACAGACTTGTCATTAAATGCATTACCTGGCTGAACTGTTTGCACTTCTCATTTGAAAGAGCAGACTCCTCTTGAAAAGCTCGAAGTAGCTTATCTTTTTCTTGCAACTGATGCTGCAGTGAAGTAACTAGATCAGATTTTCCTCCAAGCTGAAAAGAGAGAACGATTGTCTGTACCCTTCGTATATTTTTTATCCCAAGCAACATGTAAAATGAAAGCTTTGCAAAAAAAATCCTAAACTTACAATATAATTCTGTACACAAATAATAAATACATATGATTTGCAACAGCAACTTCTCCTCAGTTAAAAAAAAGGAGCAGCCGTAAAAGGTCTAAACTTCAAATGTAAAGGAAGGCTGCTTTAGTTAATCTATTGTATCACCACCTCACTCGGAGCAGGGCGTCATCCCATTCAGTTTTCTTAAACCCTGCAAGCCAAAGCCCAAATGGATTGGATGGTCCTAGCTGGACAAGCAGCAGAAAAGCTTGGGCTTTAGCTGGTTCAACTCCAGCAGTGCTCAAACACACACTCTTGGGGTCCCCAGGCCTTGGCTCTCAACAGCCTGAGCCTAAATCTCCTCAATTAGGCACTCCAGACAGAGATTGTATATTCACTACAATACACAGGAATTTCTATGTGTACGTGACAAGCATGGAACTCTGCTTGGTTTGGATAAGAATGATGATAGATTTCCACATACATCAATCATCCGGCTGACCCCCACCCCAAAAAAAATCAATCTCAGTCGTAAATTGCTGAATTCAATGCTTTTCATTCTGAACATTCTTTATCAATTTGCTCTGATAATGCATTTCTGGTAAAACTCTTTGCACTTTTACAGGCTGCTTCTTCAGTGAGCAGCAAGTTTTTTTTAAAAAAAACAACCAAGCAGAATAAACCAAACCCAGTCAGCAGGTTTAGTGCTGTCAGAGTTGTAACCACCCGCTTGTAACTAAGAAAAAAATTCAACAAAGCCCAACTCATCAGATCAACACAAATCAGGGTTAGGAACAATTCTTACTTTCTGCCAAACGTCTTGTAGCACAGGCTTCTCTCTCAGTATCTCAGCAACAGAAATAGCTTCCTCTGCATTGAATGTCATAATTTTCAAAGAGGAGATGAAGTCTTTGAATTTTATATCAGCGTTTTCTGGAAGAAAATAAGGATGAAGTAACACCAGAGTAAATTTAGTGGGTATGTTACCCTCCTTGGAGGTTATCTTAACTTGCATAAATCCAAGATTCTTTAATATTCACTCAGGGCATTAACATCTTAATAGCTGAAACAAGAGCCAAAACTTTCGCTAATAATACTCAACATTCTACAAAAACATGTGGGGGGGGATCCTGCTTGGAGTCCAAACATGTGTGATGAACTTGTTTAGGTCACGATAGGAGATCCCCCCAAAAAATGACCCTCCACCTTGCAAGACCTTTCCGATGAGGTATAAATCATGTCTCTATGTTAATCAGTTGGACAGACACAGACGGACTTTTGTCTTTATTAGAATAGATAGAAGACATTGTAAAAGACAACTAAAAGCAGATTCAATGGCAACTGTTTTAAGCACTGAAGAATATGATCAGAAACAGGTACAACTGTTATTTTTCTCATTTTCAAAGTTAAAATTCCATAATTAGAAAGCCAATTCAAAAGGCTCTGAATAAAACGCACAACAGTCTCCCCATGCCAATTTCTGATGTAATAGCTTGAAAGCATCAATAATATTACTAAAAAGATCCCATGACTCATTCACAGAAATGGTTCACAAAATCACCACCGAGTCAGAATTGGTTTCCGGATATAAATTTTCACTTAGTGACAGGATATAAAACCAAGTTACACATATTTAATAAATGTAGATTTTTTTTAAAGACATACAATCAACATTTTATTCTTCAGATTGTAAATTGAGGACATGTAATCTTAGATATTTTAAACAGCATTAAGAAGAGAATGTTCCTTTAAGGCCAATGGAGATTAATAGCAGTTTTCTCAAACGTGGATAATTGCATGAAACCCTTGTAATTGGACAAAGCATGAAGAAAATTTAAAAGCCAAGCACCAACCTCTATCATATTCGTTCCTCTGTTTCTTGGCATTCGCTTTCTGCACACCACTATTGATCATCTGGGATTTGTCAACGTCAACAGGATCCTTCTTTTCTCCAGAGGCACTAGCCTCAGCATTATCCATCAAAGCAACGTAAACTGCAGACTTGATCAAGACCTCCTCAATGACAGCTGGAGCTACCAAAAACAATTTAGTTTCGTTTTTAATTTTTTTTTCCAAAACACAATTAGAAAAAGTTGTTTTTTTTTTAAAAAAAGGAGTAAAACGGCATACAACAACACGCATCGTACTAACCCGCTTCGGATTTTTGTTTTTTGGGAGGAATTTTTCTTGCAGGTTTTCCTGGTGCACTTTCGTGCAGTTTTGTTTCCACTGGATCTTGCTTTTTCGTAACGTTTTGAAGAGATTCAGTGTGTTCTTTGATATAAGCATTGCGTACATCCTGAGCATCATCTACAAAAATCCCATTAAAATAAAAGACACTTTAAAAAATGAAACACAACAGTTGCAGAATCAATTTAGTCTGAATGCCACAACTATTATACTGTGTGTCTCACAGAACACAATCATCCATTTATATTTACATATTAAGTCACACAATGTTCCTTTTAGTTTACATAAATACAATTAAACTATTTGGTGCCCCAAACAGGAAAGAGCATGGGAGTAAAGCTCAAATCGCAAGATTAACTAACCTAAAATGTGAGTTCATCATTAGGTTACTTAGTTCAACCCAGTTCTGATGATAAACAAATTAGAGAATGATAATAATTATGGGGGGAGAAAGAAGGAGGCACTTGCCGTAAGCAAGTAAATTCTTGATCTCCTTGATGGCTCAGCAAATCACTTGGTTGCCACGCGTCACCCACAAAACGTACAGTCAATTCACTTAATGTATTTTGTGAAACACTTTGAGATGTTTCAATAATACGATAAGACACTATATCAAATGCAAGCATTATTATTATTAATACATTGTATAGAATAGTACTGAAAACTTCTTGCATTTGTTCTTGTTGTTTGGGTCCAAATTAGAGTAGCATGGATTATCAAGAACATTAGGTAAATATAAAGTTTTTTAAAAAAAACACACCCAGCATCACAAGGCACAGAATAGACAAAACCTGGATAAAATGTACACAACTCAGCTCAGACACACTGAGAACTAAAGAAAAAAATAGCAAGGAACATAAGAAAATAAAAAAGTTTATAGACCACAAATAATAAGGGCAATCAGTGAACGTGGGCCATGTAGAATGGAAGTATTGTGAAGAGTAACAGGATGACAAATTCACTAACAAAGTTCACAGTAAAAGGTGAGGAAGAGGCAAATGTAGATGACGAAAACAGCTGTTGGTTAGAAATATCAGTAAAGTGGTAAACAAAGTTGATGGAACTTAAGTGCACAAGCCACCAAGCAAGAAGGATTTTGTTCCTGACCATACAGTGGTTGCTCTAACTGCTAAATTTCACAAGTCCTTAAAACAGGAAGCATTCTACTGTGCTGTTCAATTCTATGATTATAACTGACTGGAGGGTGGCAAATTTCACACCATTTTGAAACCAAAGGAAATGAGAAACCTGGGAACTACAAGCCCAGGGAAAAAAAATTAAGAGTTGATAATGGGGAGGAAAAAAAAAGCCACCTGAAGAATAATTTGATCCAGGCAACCACCATGGATTCATGAGGAGCAGATAGCGTTTTAATTATTTTTTTAATTGCTCAGAGCATAGACATGGAAATACTGAGGGTGCTAAGCCTTTTGATAAGGTACCACTAAAATTTATATCAAAACTTGAGTTATGGTATTAAAGATAATGTTGAGAGAATAGCAGGATGTTTGAGGGACAGAATCCAGAATGGGACTCAGTGGGCGTATCTCAGACTGACAGGATATAATTAGTTCTATGAGTCAAAATTATATACTATAGAAACTACCTGTCTCTGGCAAACAGTTCATCGTTGAACCACAGCAAAAGTTACAGGTACACATTATAACTTTATAAACAGAGGTACAGAGTTTAAAAGCAAAGAAGTTATGTTGAGCTTTTACAAATTGCTGGTTAGGCCTCTCCAAGGCTCTGACATCCTTCCTAAAGTATTGTGTCCAATTCTGGACACCATACTTAGCAAGTATGTCAGAACCTTGGAAAGGGTACAAGAGAGATTTACCAGAATGATACCAGGGATGAGGAATTTCAGTTATATGGAGACTAGAGAGGCTGGTATTATTCCCCTCAGAGCAAAGAAGGTTGAGGGGAGATTTTACACAGGTGATCAAAATTGAGGGGTTTTGATAGAGTAGATCAGGAGAAACGGTTTCCGCTGACAGGTGGGATGGTAACCAGAGGGCACTGATTTAAGATAATTGGCAAAAGAACAGTGGGGAGACCAGGAGAATTATTTGTTTACCGAAAGACTTGTTACGGTCTGGAATGCATTGCCTGAAAGGCTGGTGGAAGTAGATTCGATATTAGCTTTTGGATAAATACTTAAAAAGGAAAAATTTGAAGGGCTATGGGGTAACAGCGGTGGAGTGGTACTGGTGGTAACTCTGTCAAAGAGCTGGCACAGGCACAATGGGCCAAATAGCCCCCTTCGGTTCTATGAATCTATGATCCAATTTCATAGTACAGTAAAAAGCTTGCTATTAAGGGCAGTCAATAGACTGGTGAGTTACCCGTAAGGCAAGGATCAACACTATACCATAGCAAACGTAACTATGATAAAACATACTATACTTCAACTGCAGTTCGACAAATGCAAAATGGACAGTCGTCGACCTGCTATAAATTTTCACAGATAAAGAATCCAGAATGGAAAGCCAACAACCAAGGTTTCAAATTTTATTTTAAAACTAAAAGCCTAATTATGCTAAACAGATCACCGAACTGTAGAAAATAAAATCACGGGAAGCTCAGCTATGTTTATCCCAACATTTCCCTGAAGCAAATACTAACAATTCTAACCAATAAGCAATCACTGCTCAATCATTGATGGCTCCACTCTTAATACTTCATCTATCGACATTCTTGGCCTATCTCCACTGATCTCGAATGGAATGCTCTCAACTCCATTGCTAGAACAGGCTCCAAGAAGTTTGTTTTCTTCTTTCCAACAATTTCTCTCTCCCCACTCCTGCAATAACTATCAACTTTGTGAAGCCCCAGGTGGTCAACGATTCAGATATGAAGGATGTGTTTTGTGGTATCCGCCCACCTCGAGAGGCACTATATAAATGTAAATTACATTTGAATACTGCTTTCATATGTGGGATGATGAACACATGGTCCCACACTCTTCCTTTTCCCTGCATCTTCTCTCTATCAATTGCAATTTATTACATTTACACCAACTCCCTACCTCTGCGACCTCCAAACCGCCTACCAACCTGCCCACTCCCTCCACTCAGCCAGTTCCAGCCTGCTCCACATCCCCCGATCCACCCGCCCCACCATTGGCGGGAGAGCCTTCAGCCACTCTGCCCACAACCTCTGGAATTCCATCCCCCAATCATTCCACCTCGCCCCCTCCTTAGCCTCCTTCAAGTCCCGCCTACAAACCCTCCTCTTCAACCATGCCATTGGTCACCCCCCCTTCCCCCTCTCTGACCCCAGCTCGGGTCTGAAATGCTGTACACTGTCCAGGGCCTTGGGACGTCCTCCCAAAGTGAAAGGCGCTATACAAATGTGAATCAGGAACTCCCCAAAAGTAATGAATGCTGCTGTCAACTCCCAACATTGCCATAAATTTGGAAGTTCAAGCTTAATCTATACAAATAAAGCTTTCTGCATGGCTGCTGAAACGGATCAGTTTGTCTCTTACATACTTCCAATTTCTATTCTTTGGCGACTCATTTGTCAGCCACATTATACATTTTCAAAGCCTCTCAATGTTAAACTGACGGTTATCTGGTTTTCTCTCAAATCATTAAATTAATGTTCTTTTAATGGTTCATTTACTCCACCAACCCCCACCCCCATCTGAATTTCTGGAGGTCGGTTCTCTATCCCCCACTCTCTTCTTTCTCTACATCAGTGACATTCTCCTCCAACCCTATCCACTTATTTGCTAATGTTTCAATTCTACACTCCTGTAGCATCGAGTGCAATGGTTGTAGAGTCACTAAACAGGATCTCTTTTATGACCGCCTTTCTGGACACAACCTTTGCAAACTCTCACTTGCCTGGCACTTTGGGACAATATGAAAGGTGCTATATAAATACAATTTATAGATGCTTGAAGGTGTATGGGGATAAGGTTAGGTTGAAGCAATCTCCTTGTTCTGTCGAAATATTTGATGGGCTGAACGGCATGTTATCCGATCCGCCATCGTGAAGCACTCCAGGATGCTGCGCTGCATGAAGGGCACTATATAAATGTAAGTTGTTGTTGTAGTGCTGTAGATTTCATTTTTTAATGCTATATCTTACAAGGATCTTAATCAGTTTCATGTATTAAGATTTTTGGCCTATTAAACACTGATCTCAAAATGGAACTCATGGAGCTCGGTACGTCCTCCCATTACTGAAAACTAACTTTCATATCTGGCCTCTATTCTCATTATTTAACACAATGCTATTCTCCCCAGATCTTCAGTGTGTTGCAATGAGACCAACATGCTCACCCCACTCTCCTTGATCCTCTCCTCTTATGACTATATATCCTTTACATATCCCCTCAGCCTCTCGTTTCCACTTTCTATAATCTACATCCTTGGAAAACCTAATCTTAGCTTAATCCAATGTCTTCTTTGGTCATGAACAGTACTTTATGCTTTAGTCCTCTCAGTTACCAATTAAAAAACTGTAGTTTTCAAGGTTTAGGTTGTTGTGGATTGTAATCAACAAATTTGATGGGATGTAAACGGTTTCAAAATTTTATAATATCCACCCACATATGGTACTTTATACCTCAGGGATGAGTGTATACATATTTATAAGTTTTCATATCCCGATACTTCTAACTAATAGATACTAGCCTGGCTCTAAATAAACTTACTATCCCCATTCCATAATATAATCCCATCCGTACTTGGCTCTGCAAACACCCGTTGCACTTTAATTTCCGAGAGGTTTGTGAAATTCTGGTAGCTACCAAACTGTTCAGAGGAAGCACCAACTAAAAATAGAACAGAAATCTTTTAGCAGCTGGAGTTTGGAGTTGGAATTTGGAGTTCACCAAATATAGTCTCTTTTGCACATTATTTAATCTTAATGCTTGAGTCAAAGTGCTTCTCAAGTCTTCTTGCCTTTTGTTTGAATCCACATCCTTCCATAGAATGCTTCAGATGTCTCCATCAGTAATCTCCCTATCATATTAAAGTTACTGTCCTTTACTGGTAATGAATGTGCAAGTTAGCTTTGGATCAGATAATGTGCCTAAAACTGTACAGTAACACACTGGGGAAAAAAATCATTTTGTACAATTCTTTACCTTGATATTTCTGCTTTGATACCGTTTCCAATGAAACAGAAAAGCAATTTACCAAAAAAGGAAAATCCACTTTTTCAAGTTTTACTTGAACAAATTATGCCATTTAATATTTTTTGTGAAACATAGTGGAGTAGTGAAGGGATGGTTGTAGGCACTAGAAACAAAAAGTTAAGTTATAAATTGGATAATTAAAACACTTTTTACCTGTGCCATTTTTCTGCTTCTTGTGTCCAGACTTTCTCTTTGAACTTTGAACATCCGGAGGAGTGAGCTGCTTGGAAACTGGGAGTTCCATCCTCTTTCCCACAACTTTTAATCCTTCAGTATCCTTCCCTGCAGTCTCGTCATGTACAGACCTGGCTGATTTCTTGTCCTTCTTCTTCCTTTCTTTTAATCCAGATGAAGTTTCAACTACAGGTGACAGGATCTGAACCGGAGGTTCTTCATCAGGTCCTAAGACATCCATTAAGTCCATGTCTCGCACTGCACTTTCTGAATCGGACTCATGCAAGTTTCCATTTGGGTTCTCTTTCTTTTTGTTCTTTTTCTTCTCGCTTTTCTTCTTGTCAACTTTTGCAGGTATGGGTTTCACATCGCGCTTTTGTTTAGCGAGAACTTCATCATACGAAGTCTCTTTCATAAACAGCCAGAAGAATAGGAAAATTACAGCAATGACCACACAAGGGATGATAATGAGGAGGTACTGAGAGTCATACAGTTCCATGGCTGCTCAGATGTTTACTGCAGTATCTAAATGAAGAGGGAAAAAAAAAGATCAATTCTGCGCAGATCTGTATGCAACCTGAATGAATTAGAACTGCTGATTTTTGAACTGTATATAACCCATCTTAAACACAACTATTTCAGTATGCTTCTATTATAATAAAACAAACATTTTAAGTACTGATTTGAGGATGAACAGCCTACATGTGCTCACTTAAGAAAAACTTGGGTGTTTCTTCACAAAATTGATGCAGTAAAACATGTGGAAAGATAATTTCTGAATGGTGGCTTGCAAATGAAATACAAAATATTTACACAAAAGCAAAAAGGCAATCTACAGTCCAGTACATTCTAATTTGATTTTTCTTCAACATGCAGTCAAGGTCAGCTATTTTGACAATACTGCAATTTTGAGATTCAATCATGATCATTTACTTCATCACTCAAACAACTGGATATTAAGGCAATGAATTCATAGCCTTCCCAAGAATCATACCTGCATGAAGTTTAAACTATAAACAGCATGTTAATCCAAAATGATTCAGAAACCATCTGAGCTTTTTAAAACCTATAAATAAACTTGGAGAAACCTCATCTAACTATAACTCCACAATATCTTAGTACTTAAGCTTCTACCAATGGGCCTATAGCATGGCGTGTTAATACAGCTGGACCTTTATAGTAAATCTAATATTAGTTTAGAAAGTATTAATGGAAGCTGATACAGTTGTGATGATGTATCCCAGGTTATTCATAAAAACATGGAACAATACATCCTATTCTAGGCTCCCTTTCTTCACCCCGCCTTCCCAGCCGCATTGGCAAAAGATTAACATGTTTAAGGAGTTTCAAAGACATTTAATAAAAATAATCCTTCTATTTCATATCTCACCACTCATGTCAGAAAACTGCCTGAAAGCACTTTACGTGATTTACTGCAAAGTACAGTGACTGTGCATTTTGTCGGCAGATTGATGCACCAACACTTTGTTGAAAGATATCAGTCGATACTGGAAGATGGGTTTGATTGGGACAAACCCTTTAAAACAAGAGTTTGCTGTCAAAATGAAGAAGCCATTTTCTGAGCATCTGCAATCCCACAAGCATGTGGGATGATTTTGATATTTTTGTTTGTGCAAGTCAGCCAGAAATCTGGCACAACTTGAAAAACTCCTCCCAACCCTGCATGATGAAAGCCCAAAGCCATTGTATTTGTTCATTTAAAATGACAGAACACATGGGTACAAAAATACCCGAATGACTGAGTTTCAAATGCAAGCAGCTGTGGAATTTTCAACCATGCAGAAAAAGATCCCTGGGACCTTTCCGAAGCACTTGTTGTCAGAAGTTCAAGTCTCTGTGAATTCAGGGATGGATTTTCCCTGCACGAGGCCTGCAATGTTTGCTAAAAGCAGGCAGTGTCAGCAATGTTAATCCTGATTCCTTTTGAGCTGTGTTGAGATTGGTCGCTAACATTTTTTCCACACAAGTAAATTTCTTGGGGAGAATATTCAATCTGGCTTTGGCACCTTCTCAGGTAGAGCAGAGGGAATCCTGCTTTAAGAGCAAGGTTCAATAAAATAATTTCTTCAACAATTCAATCTAAAATGCACAAATTTCTAATGGAATTCCTGCTGTACATAACAGCAAGTCACAGGAATTCTGTCACAATTTAATTTCGAAGAAGAGTTCCATGAGTCAGGATGATGTACATCTGGTTACGTTAGAAATCCCCACTTATAAAAATCCAAGTGCACTAGATTAGCTGGATAATTAAAGCACAGTTCACTTACAAATAACACCCCACAATCAGTCATTTTAAAGATGTTTTAATTCTCTTAAATTATCTTCCATGCTATGGAGAGGAGGCTGACTGACCTGTCATTTTTAGGAAGAGTATTGGTTTTCTGAATATCTCAAAAACCACCAACTCTCCTCCAAGACTGAAAGATATAGGGATCTTCTGGAATGTCAACCTGAGTGTCAATACATTTCCTTCAATTCCTTAATTCTAGAATTAATCCATTTTAACCAGAAAATAATCATTTTTTCACTTCATCACAGTAATTTCGACAACTGTCCCCTTTAAGTTAGATGTGCTTGAACTGTTTTTAGCAAGTTAAGCTGAGCAAATTCCGCAGAATATACAGTACAGAAACAGGCCATTTGGCCCAACTGGTCTATGCCAGCATTTATGCTCCACATGAGCATCCTCCTGCCCTTCTTCAACTAAGCCTATCAGCATAACCTTCTATTCCTTTCTCACCCACCATGTACTTTCAGGCAAAATAATTTGCCTCAAAGTACAAAACACCCTCTCTGAAATAAATAATCCTAGCACACCAGCTCAGGTGCCAATCCAGTATAATTAAGCACTTTGAGAAGTCTTTCCGACACAAAATATGCTATGTAGATCTAATTCTGTTGTAAATCAGATTGTGTACTCAGTCAACATGTGAAAGGCCTCATTACCCGAACGGAAACACATACAACACCTACTACAAGTGGTTAAAAACTACTCAGCATTAGCTTCCTGCTTGTTGTCCGATTAAACTGATCCAATTATATTATTTGCTGAATACAGTAACCGGAGCATTCAAAATGCCCTCCATGCACAAGAATTCCATTTCTAAAGGCAGCCGCGCCAGAAATGCTAATGACAATGACATTTGCACAGATAATTTTGATCAAATGTGTAAACCTTTACTTTTAATTTGATGAACACCATCCACAAAACCCTAAAGCAAAATTCTATATCAATTACACATTACAAGTGCTCCAAGACACTCCCCCGGGTGAGAGGTGATATATGAATGCAATTTGTTGTTGTTGAACAAACAACGCATCCAGTACCTATATGCTTGTGCATGCAGATGGCAAGATCACCTTAAACAGGGACAAGGTGAAATCAAATTTTGGTTTTAAAATAGAAACTAAATTAACACAAAATGCAATTTTCTCATTTCCAGAATTGCACAGATTTATAAGTACCTGATCTTCAGTACTGGACACTGACAAGGTGAATGGTTATCTTTAGAAAAGTCATATCCTTTAGGATTATTATAATAAGCAAAGCGGTTCCAACAATTCAGCTGTTCAGTAATGCTTGCAAACCTTCGAAAGGTCAAGTGCAGCAAGCTTTTAAGAATTGTTACTTAAGTATAAATTGATTTGAGATTTAATTAATCTCATATCTGGTGTAAAATGAATTATTTAAATTTGGAATACTATGTACATAATCTAATACATTTTCAATGATTTACAATTTAGTTAGTGGGGTGGAGAAAAGCGATTTGCGCCTATTGTTCACACACTAATTTGGCTGTACAAACTTAATAATCTTTGCAACAAAAACAGAAGTCGCTGGGAACACTCAGCAGGTCAGGCAGCACCTATGAAGAAAGGAAAGTGAGTCAAAGTTTCGGGTCCACAACCCTTCGTCAGAACTGAATCAGCTTTCTGAATCAGTCGGCAGCACGACTAAATGAGCTAGGCTGACGCCCACGTTCTCACCACAAGAGGAAAGATGTCAAATTGGCTTCTGAGAAACACAATAAGAAGCTCAAATGGAAAAGGGAGACCCATTCATCTCAGGAAGTTATACACTATATACACTTATATACTGCTATATACTATAACACTGATAGACCATTAGGATAGCACATTCACTATTTAGTTTGTTTCTTTATGCAGTTCAGGACTATGCTGCTCTACTTGGGCCATGGAAGGGAAAGTAAACAACACACCAAAATTTCCATTACTCAGAGGGATTCAACAATCTGTAGTATATGCACATGAATGAATACTGGATGAAGATGAGGATCAAACTCAACTGTAATGGCTTCCATTCACCTTCAAAATACATTCGCTACACTTGGTTTCTATTGCTTTTAAGATTTTGAAGAGACATATTTTGGGATAACATGGCTGTAAACGCACTCTTTTTGTAATTTGAGTTGTGAGCGTAAAGCTAAATGATAAAAATACTATATTAACCAGCCTGAATAAAATCTACAGATCGGAAGAAAAAAAAACATGATTTTAATTGGGAGCTACATCTCTGCTATGCAGTGTCAAAAAAAAACTTAATTCGTACAAGAGTAAGTGTACATCCAGCCCAATCTATGTGCATTCCTGATCTGGAAACCTTGGAACGTTCGCCCAACGTGAAAAGCACTATATGCAATTTGTTGCTGAATGCATTAGTCATACTGATAATTAGTAATCACAATGGATCAACGGATTAGCTTTCAATAGTAAACACGACGAGGTAAATCTCAAACAAAAACAGAAGTCACTGGGAACACTCAGCAGGTCAGGCAGCATTATGGAGAAAGGAAAGCGGGGCCTTGAACACCCAACTTTCTAAATCAGAGGCAAGAGAACTACTAAATGAGCTCGGCTGACACCCACGTTCACCACAAGTCATATTCCAAGCAATTGGCTTCTGAGAAAAATATAAGAAGCTCAAATGGAAAAAGGGACACACATTCATCTCAGGAAGTTATATACTGTAGTGGATATTGTTAATTCCTTCCCCCTCCTACCAGTCCTCATTTTGTATTCAAGGTAATTCCAACAAATTTCTCACCTACCTTAAGTGGTCTTTTCCAGCATCTGCAATACTTTGCATTTTAATAAGGTTAATCTCAAGAAGTTTGTGTTGTTAAATTCCACCCAACCTTAGTTAGTCTAACTAGTCCAAAGTCTCCACTAGTATCGGATGAAATTCTAAGAGTGAATAAAATGCTGAACAAATACCCTGAATAAAATTACAATAATATTACAAAAGTAATAATAATCCTTGCATTTTATTTAGCGCCTTATCACATCTTCGAGGCGTCTCAAAGTGTGTCACAGAATATACTGTAAAGTGAATTGACTGTATTTTTTGGGCGAAACGCGGCAACCAATTGCATACAGCAGTATCCCACAAACAGTCGTAGATTGAGTGACAAATTTACCTTTTTTTTAAGGAATTATCATCCCCGGAAAAGCATCCACAGATCAACTAACAACCGGGTTCC